ACAGAAAAAGGATAATTACTTTACCGCCATCTGGCCTGCAGAAAACAGGCTGCCAGAGCCCAGAGAAGGTTGGCTTCTATACAGCTTCTCATACGCGCTAATAATCCCTGATTTAATCCCTACTGGTTGCTTTTATTCCTCATCCCAAAACAAGGTTATCCATAGCAGGTTAGAAGGTATCGTCCCAATAAAACTGATTCACGTTTAAAATTATTTTCCAAACGGTACACAGATGTAGAAGGTTTGCTTATGAAGTCCTGATTGTTTTTCAGGTCCTAAAGTATCTGGTTGCCTGTGATCATCTTTGTGAGCTGGGCTACGATGAAGCACAAGTGGAGGAGGCTTTGGAGATGTTTCAGAACTGCGAGAGCAAGGTGATCGAACTTTACAGGTGCTGGTCATAAAATTAGAATATCATGAAAAAGTAGATTGATTTCAGTAATTCCATTTAAAAAGTGAAACTTGTATATTATATTCATACATTACATACAAACTCATATATTTCAGATGTTTATTTTGTTTAATTTTGATGATTACAAATGACAACAAATGAAAATCTCAAATTCATCATATCAGAAAATTAGAATATTACTGAAGACCAATAAAAACAAAGGATTTATAGAAATGTTGGCCAACTGAAAAGTATGAACATGAAAAGTATGAGCATGTACAGCACTCAGTATTTAGTTGGGCCTCCTTTGGCCTGTATTACTGCAGCAATGCGGCGTGGCATGGAGTCGATCAGTCTGTGGCACTGCTCAGGTGTTATGATAGCCCAGGTTGCTCTAATAGTGGCTTTTAGCTCTTCTGAATTGTTGGGTCTGGTGTATTGCATCTTCTTCTTCACAATACCCCATAGATTTTCTATGGGGTTAAGGTCAGGAGAGTTTGCTGGCCAATTAAGAACAGGGATACCATGGTCCTTCAACCAGGTACTGGTAGCTTTGGCACTGTGTGCAGGTGCCAAGTCCTGTTGGAAAATGAAATCTGCATCTCCAAAAAGTTGGTCAGCTGCAGGAAGCATGAAGTGCTCTAAAACTTCCTGGTATGTGGCTGCGTTGACCCTGGACCTCAGAAAACACAATGGACCAACACCAGCAGATGACATGGCACCCCAAACCATCACTGACTGTGGAAACTTTACACTGGACTTCAAGCAACGTGGATGAAGTGCCTCTCTTCTTTTCCTCCAGACTCTGGGACCTTGATTTCCAAAGGAAATGCAAAATTTACTTTCATCAGAGAACATGACTTTGGACCACTCACCAGCAGTCCAGTCCTGTTTCTCTTTAGACGCTTCTGACGCTGTCTGTGGTTCAAGAGTGGCTTGACACAAGGAATGCGACAGCAGAAACCCATGTCTTTCATACGTCTGTGTGTGGTGGTTCTTGAAGCACTCACTCCAGCTGCAGTCCACTCTTTGTGAATCTCCCCCACATTTTTGAAGGGGTTTTGTTTCACAATCCTCTCCAGGGTGCGGTTATCTCTCTTGCTTGTACACTTTTTTCGACCACATCTTTTCCTTCCCTTCGCCTCTCTATTAATGTGCTTGGACACTGAGCTCTGTGAACAGCCAGCCTCTTTAGCGATGACCTTTTGTGTCTTGCCCTCCTTGTGCAAGGTGTCGATGGTCGTCTTTTGGACAACTGTCAAGTCAGCAGTCTTCCCCATGATTGTGTAGCCTATAGAACTAGACTGAAAGACCATTTAAAGGCTTTTGCAGGTGGTTTGAGTTAATTAGCTGATTAGAGTGTGGCACCAGGGGCCATCAATTTTGAACCTTTTCACAATATTCTAATTTTCTGATATGATAAATTTGAGATTTTCATTTGTTGTCATTTGTAATCATCAAAATTAAACAAAATAAACATCTGAAATATATGAGTTTGTATGTAATGTATGAATATAATATACAAGTTTCACTTTTTAAATGGAATTACTGAAATCAATCTACTTTTTCATGATATTCTAATTTTATGACCAGCACCTGTATGTTCACATTTCAGTGAAAAAAGGTCAGAGGTGTCAAGAAACAAAGTACAAATACTTTGTTACTGTACTAAAGTACACTTTTTAGGTATCCATACTTTACTCAATTACTTTTTTTTCTTCCTACTTCTGACTTCTACTCATTACATTTTCTATTCCTTACATTTTTAAAACAAACGTTACTCGTTACTCTTGGCTTCGGTTTAATGTTTCAAATAAAATGATACGACTGGCATAAAATCAAATACAAACAGCTTAAAAATAAAACTCACAATTATCTTGAATTAGCGGGAGCCCTGAACCCGTTTCTCTGAAACAAGCCGGTCCCATCGAGGCGTAATCGGAGACAATGACACACCAAGTGTGCTCCTGATGTCCAGTCTGCTCCGTAGCTTTGCTTTGGTCGCTGTAACCGCAGAAAATCCCACTTCATAAAGATGTTATACATATGCAGTGTTGGGCACGTTACTTTGAAAAAGTAATTAGTTATAGTTACTTCTCCCAAAAAGTAACTGAGTTACTCCACAATAAAAGTAACTAGTAAAAGTAACTATTGCGTTACTTTTGCGTTTCTCGCCCCCGTAACCCTCACACCCGGCCCCCACCTTCTCGCCGTGTTTCCAAAGCCAGCTGAATAGAGCGGACGACAAAGACAAGAACCTGCAGACAGTTTAGCATTTATTGCAACTCAACGTAAATGACATCAGAGGGGAACGCCATGGGAAGTTTTATAACAGGACATTCAGATCTGGTGAGTGAATGAAATTATTAACTGGGGATGTCTAATTCAGAAATCCTGTGTGTTTGGGCCGTTATAGATACTGCAACATCTATCTATCTAGATCTATACTCTGTGTGTGACATAAAATATGGATCTTTATCCCTGCCACAAAGGCCATCAAATATGTTTAAAATAAAAAATACAGTAGGTTGAAAAGGCAGAGTATCCATCCATCCAGATTTCTCTCTTTCTCCATATAAGCTATCATTTGATCGTTCACGCTCTCCATAGTTCTCCTGTGGCGCGAGCACAGGGCGACTGTTGCGCGCCTTTAGCGAGCATGCGCGTTTCCTGTCGCTTGCGCTGTGAATCGTGCCGCCTGCGCTGTGCGGAGATGCAGAGGAAACCGTATCTGATGGGGAAACGCAGCTCGACGTAACACCGGTATTTCCATGTGGAAAACGCTGTTTTGCTGCTGGAGTCCTCCTCACTCTCCATCTCTCTGTGTGTGCTGTACGTTAACACCCGCCAGCAGAAACACCCACCTATTCAACTGACAGACGGAATCTCACTATACATCAGCCATTCTCATCCTCCCCTCTCTCATGACAAGGCGCGCACGAGTCCCATCATGAAAAAAGGTTCATTGTGCGACCTGAGTAATGCGCAGTAACGGGGTGTCTGCAATGGTAACTACGTTATAGTTACAGTCAAAGTAATTACTAAAACAAGTTACTTTCAATGCCGTTAGTCCCATCACTGTAGATATGATGCGTCTTGAACTGAATTATCCTCAAGAGGCACAAATTGTACGGAAGAGGATTAGGGCCACTGGGGAAAAAAAAAGTAAACTGATTTTTCTTATTTTATTTCAGTATAGTATGGGAAAAAGTCATAATTCTGACTTTTTTCCCATGTTAAACTGAAATAAAATTTAAAAATCAGTTTACTTTATTTTTTTTTTCCCAGTGGCCCTAATCCTCTTCCGTACAGATGCACTGATGTAATTGGGAGATAATACCCCAATGTCTTATATTTTTCAAAATAAAACATCACTCAGACTCTGATCGTCGAGAAATCATAAATATATATATATATATATTTTTTTTTTTCTGTGCGGCCCGGTACGAAATGACCGACCCCGCGGTTTGGGACCGCTGCTTTAAGTAGTTTTTGGAGCTCATACTTTTTCACTTTTACTTGAGTAAAGAGGTCAAGTTGATACTTCAACTTTTACCAGAGTATTTTTAAACTGCAGGATCTATACTTCTACTGAAGTAACAAATGTGTGAACTTTTGACACCACTGAAAAATATAAACAATTAGCAGCCCACCCAAAAATATTAGTTTTTATTTTCCTTCATACTTTCTTTTGGAAATATGAGTTTTATTTTCCAGGATTTAAACTTTGCTTGATTGGCCTGATTTGAACTATATTGCTTAGGACCAAAACAACAATGAGCCGTTGCACTGCAAAAAAATCTAGAAATAAGTCAAAATGTCTTAAATTAAGTGTATTTACCCTTAATTTGAGTAGGTAAATAAGAATTAGTTGCCAATGAGGATATTTACTCTTGAAGTAAGATAATTACAGGTGCTGGTCATAAAATTAGAATATCATGAAAAAGTAGATTGATTTCAGTAATTCCATTTAAAAAGTGAAACTTGTATATTATATTCATACATTACATACAAACTCATATATTTCAGATGTTTATTTTGTTTAATTTTGATGATTACAAATGACAACAAATGAAAATCTCAAATTCATCATATCAGAAAATTAGAATATTACTGAAGACCAATAAAAACAAAGGATTTATAGAAATGTTGGCCAACTGAAAAGTATGAACATGAAAAGTATGAGCATGTACAGCACTCAGTATTTAGTTGGGCCTCCTTTGGCCTGTATTACTGCAGCAATGCGGCGTGGCATGGAGTCGATCAGTCTGTGGCACTGCTCAGGTGTTATGATAGCCCAGGTTGCTCTAATAGTGGCTTTTAGCTCTTCTGAATTGTTGGGTCTGGTGTATTGCATCTTCTTCTTCACAATACCCCATAGATTTTCTATGGGGTTAAGGTCAGGAGAGTTTGCTGGCCAATTAAGAACAGGGATACCATGGTCCTTCAACCAGGTACTGGTAGCTTTGGCACTGTGTGCAGGTGCCAAGTCCTGTTGGAAAATGAAATCTGCATCTCCAAAAAGTTGGTCAGCTGCAGGAAGCATGAAGTGCTCTAAAACTTCCTGGTATGTGGCTGCGTTGACCCTGGACCTCAGAAAACACAATGGACCAACACCAGCAGATGACATGGCACCCCAAACCATCACTGACTGTGGAAACTTTACACTGGACTTCAAGCAACGTGGATGAAGTTCCTCTCTTCTTTTCCTCCAGACTCTGGGACCTTGATTTCCAAAGGAAATGCAAAATTTACTTTCATCAGAGAACATGACTTTGGACCACTCACCAGCAGTCCAGTCCTGTTTCTCTTTAGCCCAGGCAAGACGCTTCTGACGCTGTCTGTGGTTCAAGAGTGGCTTGACACAAGGAATGCGACAGCAGAAACCCATGTCTTTCATACGTCTGTGTGTGGTGGTTCTTGAAGCACTCACTCCAGCTGCAGTCCACTCTTTGTGAATCTCCCCCACATTTTTGAAGGGGTTTTGTTTCACAATCCTCTCCAGGGTGCGGTTATCTCTCTTGCTTGTACACTTTTTTCGACCACATCTTTTCCTTCCCTTCGCCTCTCTATTAATGTGCTTGGACACTGAGCTCTGTGAACAGCCAGCCTCTTTAGCGATGACCTTTTGTGTCTTGCCCTCCTTGTGCAAGGTGTCGATGGTCGTCTTTTGGACAACTGTCAAGTCAGCAGTCTTCCCCATGATTGTGTAGCCTATAGAACTAGACTGAAAGACCATTTAAAGGCTTTTGCAGGTGGTTTGAGTTAATTAGCTGATTAGAGTGTGGCACCAGGGGCCATCAATTTTGAACCTTTTCACAATATTCTAATTTTCTGATATGATGAATTTGAGATTTTCATTTGTTGTCATTTGTAATCATCAAAATTAAACAAAATAAACATCTGAAATATATGAGTTTGTATGTAATGTATGAATATAATATACAAGTTTCACTTTTTAAATGGAATTACTGAAATCAATCTACTTTTTCATGATATTCTAATTTTATGACCAGCACCTGTAGATAATATGCACTTGAAATAAAACAATAAATTTGTTTGTTTTTATTTTAAATGTAAATTGTCTTATTCCATTGGCAAAGTGTCTCACTAACCTCCAAAATTCAAGAAAAAATCCACTTATTTTAAGAAAAAATGACTTATGTAGATTTCAATTTTTTCTAGTGTGGCAGATATTAAAGCAACATCACAGCCCCTTACAGCACAAAAACAGCAATTTCACCAACATATTTCTGAAGTTTTGTGCAATATTTACATTTGTATACAACTATTATATTTGTATTTGTTCTAATGTATTAAAATGCACAGCGGTTTGATTTTCCTTACTAATCCTTGTTTCTTGTTGAAGTAATTTCCCTCTGGGATTATTAAAGTACGTCTGTTTCTCTTCCAGGCTGCAGAGTTCCTGCGTTTGCTGACTCAGTTTAATGAGATGGGCTTCCAGCAAAGCGCGATCAAAGAAGTGCTGCTTGTTCATGAAAACCACCGTGAGCGAGCGCTAGAGGAGCTGATGACACGCATGGCGTAGGCGGCTGATCGTCTGTTTGACTTAGATCTGGCTTAAATCATTATTTAACTGAAGCTGCTGCAGAAATTAAAATGTTTGATATCAAAAATCAGACTTTGTTCAAATACGTTTCTGATTTTTTTTTTTATTTGCATATTGATTTAAAAAAAAGAAACATTTAATGTAAAAAAGGACGGAGCTTTAAATAAACAGCCACAGAAACATATACAGAGGGGGGGGCATGGTGGCAAGGCTGGAATAAAATCCTAACAAGAGTAAAATAACATTTTAAAAGTTCCCTCTCATCCTGAACACCGAACAGCCTCCATCCGACGGACCGACTCCCTCACTGCTGGCTCACAGTGGAGTTCAGAAATCCCGTCTTCAGGTTCGATTTCGCAGCTTTGGAGAGATCCCTCTGCAACCAAACATCAACTTTATGAATGACAGAAAACAAGGACAATGTTCCAAATATAAAGATTCTGTTTGCTCTGCAATTACTGCCTGAATTATTTTGTTTAAATGTTTGTTTGGATTTGACCTGCTGACCTTTGTGCCCATTCGCCATTTTCTACCTTTCCAGGAAGGAAATTAAGCAGTTAGCTAAAAAAGGGTCAATATCTGCTTTAAAAACTGAAGAATGATTTTCTACATTCTGTTTAGTCTCTGTTAAGATTTGTGAATTTAATAAAGAAATGTTCCAACAGGAAATCGAGTAATTTTGGTTGCACAATCAGTCCCAGCTCGTGGAAAAGTGACGAGTTGTTTTCAGTAATAAAGGTGAGAGCCGCCAGCGGCGGGGGGGGGGGAACAGGAGAAAACAGCCGTTAGTGAGCAGAGTGAGGGGGGGGGGCATTTATCCACATCTACTTTCCCACTTTATAAATTCCATTTGTTTCATTTCATTAACCAAAAACAGCCTAGAAATAAGTAAAAATATCTTAAATTATGAGTATTTTCCCTTCATTTGAGCAGGTAAATAAGATTATTTGCCAAAGGAATCAGTAGATTTACTCTTAAAATAAGATAATTAGATAATATGCAGTTGAAATGAGACACTGCAATTTCTTTTTTCTTATTTTACCGTAAATCTAAATTGTCTGTTTCATTAGCAAAGTGTCTCACTTAGCTCCTCAATTCAAGAACAAATGCACTTATTTTACGAAAAAAAAATGAATAATTTAGATTAAATATTTTTTTTCATTGTGAGTTTTTGTTTCTGTGTGGTTATGATGAAAGATTCCAATCAACACGCTTTCTAACCTGACTCCGCCAGATGGATTTGCTCCGCATATCCATCTGGAAACCTTCCGTTGAAGTAATTTTGGGAAGGGGCAAAAATACTGGTTAGCTGATTGGCCTATGTTGGTGATAGACGGGCCAAATAAACCAATCAGATCAACGAAGCATATGACGTACTAATAGAGCTAGGGAGCACTCAAACCCTTGCTGAAACCAGTCGGGAGAAGAGCAAAAACATCTTTTCCTCTGAGAAAAGCCTCCAGATCAGTGTTTTGCTCTTCTTTCATTGAAGAAATACTCTGTAATTCAGATAAAACTTGCTCGATAGCCACGCTAACGCTAGTTTCATCGGCTGAAGCCGCCATGTTCTTTAGACTGAACTGTCGCGCTTCTCGTTGCGTCACACCTCAACCCGCCTTAAAGCCAACGCTGATTGGACGTTCGTTTGATGAACGGCTCCAAATTTTCTTTAACGGAGAGTCTCCAGACTGATCTGCGAGTGAAACCTTGAAAGCTCGCGAGATCAGGATGGTCTCACGAGGCTACACGCTTTCTGCTGTAGATTCAAATTAGTTCAGGAAACTAAACACCAATAAGTATTAGAGGAGCAGCTGAGGACTGAAGCAGAGGCCTGATAGCAGCTTTATGAACAAAAAAAACAATCCAATCATTTCTGCTTCTGATCCAAGAAAAACTTCTACTGTTTAAGAAAACATTTAGGTTTAAACTTGTTTAAAAACCTTAAAACAAACAAACAAAAACGGTCTTCTACAATCAGATAGATGATTACATTTAATAAAATGAGGTGTTTCTTAGATGAAGCCCAAAGGCACTAAATATAAATGTGACGACAGTTTAGATATTTCAACACTGGAAAAAATCTAAATCTAACGAAGTAAATTTTTTTCTTAAAATAAGTGACTTTTTCCTTGAATTGAGGAGGAAAGAGAGACACTTTGCCAGTGGAGCAAGAATATTGTGCAAAATAGTGCAAATTATGTCATTATTTCATTTAAGGGTAAAAATATTAATTCCATTGATAAATCATCTTATTTACCGACTCAAATTAAGGGTAAATACACTTAATTTAAGACATTTTTACTAATTTCTATGACATTTTTGCAGTGAAACTGGCTGTAGATTTCTGCTTGGTTTATCTCAAAATTAGTAAAAATGTCTTAAATTAAGTGAATTTACCTTTAATTTGAGCAGGTAATTAGGATTATTTGCCAACGGAATGAGTATTTCTACTCTTACAATAAGGCTTTTAGATATTATGCACTTGAAATAAGACAATGTAATTTTTTTATTTAAGTGTAAATTGTTTTGTTCCGTTTCCAAAGCGTCTCACTTAAATCCTTAATTCAAGAAAAAATGCACTTATAAAAAAAAAAAAAAAAAAAAAATTATTTAGATTTATTTTTTTGCAGTGTGGCTTTTAACTTCAGATTACTTCAACAGAAGTTTATGAAAATACATTTATTTTAAGACGAATATATTCTTTTGTGTTGTTTTTTTATGGCCATATCGTAAGATTTTCCTCTTTAAAAACAAAAACAAATTATGTTGGAAGAGTTTTAATGAAGTTTTATCATTTTAAAGTATTACAGGTATTAATAACTTTAACTGATAAATTACCCAAAAGATGCAGAATCATAGTTTAAAAAAAAAAACAGAGAAAACGGTTCTGTGAGGCGGGCAGCACTCGTTCCCTGACTAGTTTAAAAAGAATACAGATTATTTTAGCAGGCGGGACGTTTGGGTCGCCGGTCGGACATTAAAAAGCCTTTTTGACAGCCGGCAGAATCTTCCACCATGAACCCCACTATGAAGGACTGGACCAGGGCTGTCAAAGTGGTTCCAGAAAGGGCCGTGTGGCTGCTGGTTTTCTTTCCACCCAAGCAGTAGATCCAGACTCCAGTCATCTCATCAAGGTGAGTCTAGTCTTAACCTGATGACTTGATGGGATGAATAGAGTCTGGTGTGCTACTGCTTGGGTGGAAAGAAAACCAGCAGCCACACGGCCCTTTCTGGAACCACTTTGACACCTGTGGACTAGACAGATTTTAAACCCCATTTACCGCAAATTCCGAATAGGAGCCGGCAATAGAGTTCAAGGTGACATCTTGTGTATCCTGAGACCTTGGTGTTCCACATGGAGTGTTTCTGATATTGGAGATGTTTTCCTTGTTCCTCTCTAGCGCACGCGGCGTCTTTCCATGTCCTGGTGTTCGCAGGCCAAGACTCTACAACCAGACCAGGCAGGGATTATTTTCTTACTCATTTGGTTTTGCTTTTACAGGTGCTGGTCATAAAATTAGAATATCATGAAAAAGTAGATTGATTTCAGTAATTCCATTTAAAAAGTGAAACTTGTATATTATATTCATACATTACATACAAACTCATATATTTCAGATGTTTATTTTGTTTAATTTTGATGATTACAAATGACAACAAATGAAAATCTCAAATTCATCATATCAGAAAATTAGAATATTGTGAAAAGGTTCAAAATTGATGGCCCCTGGTACCACACTCTAATCAGCTAATTAACTCAAACCACCTGCAAAAGCCTTTAAATGGTCTTTCAGTCTAGTTCTATAGGCTACACAATCATGGGGAAGACTGCTGACTTGACAGTTGTCCAAAAGACGACCATCGACACCTTGCACAAGGAGGGCAAGACACAAGAGGTCATCGCTAAAGAGGCTGGCTGTTCACAGAGCTCAGTGTCCAAGCACATTAATAGAGAGGCGAAGGGAAGGAAAAGATGTGGTCGAAAAAAGTGTACAAGCAAGAGAGATAACCGCACCCTGGAGAGGATTGTGAAACAAAACCCCTTCAAAAATGTGGGGGAGATTCACAAAGAGTGGACTGCAGCTGGAGTGAGTGCTTCAAGAACCACCACACACAGACGTATGAAAGACATGGGTTTCTGCTGTCGCATTCCTTGTGTCAAGCCACTCTTGAACCACAGACAGCGTCAGAAGCGTCTTGCCTGGGCTAAAGAGAAACAGGACTGGACTGCTGGTGAGTGGTCCAAAGTCATGTTCTCTGATGAAAGTAAATTTTGCATTTCCTTTGGAAATCAAGGTCCCAGAGTCTGGAGGAAAAGAAGAGAGGCACTTCATCCACGTTGCTTGAAGTCCAGTGTAAAGTTTCCACAGTTAGTGATGGTTTGGGGTGCCATGTCATCTGCTGGTGTTGGTCCATTGTGTTTTCTGAGGTCCAGGGTCAACGCAGCCACATACCAGGAAGTTTTAGAGCACTTCATGCTTCCTGCAGCTGACCAACTTTTTGGAGATGCAGATTTCATTTTCCAACAGGACTTGGCACCTGCACACAGTGCCAAAGCTACCAGTACCTGGTTGAAGGACCATGGTATCCCTGTTCTTAATTGGCCAGCAAACTCTCCTGACCTTAACCCCATAGAAAATCTATGGGGTATTGTGAAGAAGAAGATGCAATACACCAGACCCAACAATTCAGAAGAGCTTAAAGCCACTATTAGAGCAACCTGGGCTATCATAACACCTGAGCAGTGCCACAGACTGATCGACTCCATGCCACGCCGCATTGCTGCAGTAATACAGGCCAAAGGAGGCCCAACTAAATACTGAGTGCTGTACATGCTCATACTTTTCATGTTCATACTTTTCAGTTGGCCAACATTTCTATAAATCCTTTGTTTTTATTGGTCTTCAGTAATATTCTAATTTTCTGATATGATGAATTTGAGATTTTCATTTGTTGTCATTTGTAATCATCAAAATTAAACAAAATAAACATCTGAAATATATGAGTTTGTATGTAATGTAAGAATATAATATACAAGTTTCACTTTTTAAATGGAATTACTGAAATCAATCTACTTTTTCATGATATTCTAATTTTATGACCAGCACCTGTAAATGCAGCGTAAAGATAACAGAAAACTCAAAGCTGGAGTATTTTCAGTAAATATACAGAAACTTTCTCCTCATTCTGCAGTTTCAGGCTAAGATCAGGTCCTACCTTGCTGGCAGATGGAGGTGGTTTCAGTGTAAACGTCTGGCCTGCATTAAGAAAGCTGTTTGGAGTGGAGACAGTCGAGGGCCCGTTGATCTAAACCAAGAGAGGAATACATGTTTGTTTCTATTCGCTGCCATTAAATCAGACCAGCGTCATATTTCTGAAAATATTTCACCTTTCTGATCTTTCCAGGTGTGGGAGTGCCTCCAATCCACCGCTTCGATGGCGTTCTCGTCATTGTTCCATACAGCATTTCCTCTTCGGTTTGCTTAGTTTTCTTCAGTTGCTATCAGTGGACATCAAGTTAAATCACTTAGTAAAAATATGAACCAAATATTTTTTTTAGCTTCAAATATAAAGCAATAAAAAAGGTGAAAAAGAAGCCATACCCTTTCCAGTTTCTCCCTGTCTTTCTCTTCGTTGTGCTCCTGCCACTGCTGCTGCACAAATGTGAGAAATTTCTGTCCGTTGACCAGGAAGTCTCTGCCGTGCTCCTGCTCCCAGACATCGATCTGGGTTTTCAAAATCTCCTCTAACTGAAATGAGACATTAACAACCCGTTAGCCCTGTCAGGAGAACAAACTGTATTTTATCTGCTGACTAAAAGTAGCTTTTCAGCTAAAAAAATGAATTCAGATCTTACAGATTTCCTTTAAAAAAACAAAATCCACCTTAGGTAAGCTCTTCTGGAGCTGAGTTCTCTGCTTTTGTTCCTTTAGAAGGTTTCCACCTCTGTTATTAAACCTTGAAGGATCGTTAGTTTTTCTCTGCAATACGGAAACACATTAAGATACTTTAGAACATGAAGTTTAGAATAGAATCAGTGATTTAAAGATTAAACTTACCTCTAGTTCCAAGTACAGGTCCCAGTTTTCCTGCCACTTTGTAACCCCCATAAAGAGCTCCTTGTGGTCCTCATAGTACTTCTGCAGGTACCGGACCTCAGCCTCATGCACGTTCAGAAGCTCCTCAGTAAAAACATCTGGAAACAAAGAGTTGGGAAGTTTTTCTGAACTTCGCTGCCTTGGATCAAACTCATCTAAAGCTGATGCTGGTGAAGATTCATCCAGGTCAGTCATTCCAAAAAGCAAAACAAAAACACAACAATCCACTGGACTTTGTTTCCAAGTTTGAAGACGTTTCTCTTCCATCCAGGAAGATTTTTCATTCAAAATGTCAGAAATAGCGTTTATCCAGCAGCCCAATGTTAGAATAGGCTTTGTGTTTCTGCACCTTGATGCTCGATCTCCCTGATTCTTTTTCCTGAAAAGCTGAAAAACTCTTAACAACACTTCATAATAATATAATGGGCCCCCTATCGGTATCGGCCTTTAAACTGAATATCGGACATCGGCCAGCCCACCGATATTTAACCCGATATTTGATCAGCTTCTGAGTTTCTAAAGTCTAGAAAAAAAATAAAAAATACTACTTCTTCCTCTTCCTCAAACACTTTTTTACAGACTTAAAAACTTCTAAAGACGAGGGAAAAAATATTGATCCATTAAAATATCCCAATATCTTCATATGCTGATATATTGCCATTTAAAAACACCATATCAATCTCTTTTACTAATGAAATATTGCTATATGTCATCGTTATGCTACGAAATCCCCCGAAAATTCACCAAATGTTGCCATATTTTTATATGTTGATATATTGACGCGGAATCGATCTATTTTACTAACAAAATCTCACAAGAATTTGCAAAATATCACGAGAGTTTGTAACAGAACGATGAAATTTCACGAGATTTTGAAAGTAAAATAGATCGATACCGCGTTTTTAAAAATCAATTTGATATCAGCATATGAAAATATATTTGAGTATATTATTTTTCAAAGTGTCAGAAATGGATAACAAAACCGCTATTTTCAATGACTACTTATTTTTGTCCAGCTTTAACATCGGTATCGATATCGGTTATCGGCTACATAAGTTTTAAAATATCGGCATATCGGATATCGGCCAAAATCCCAATATCCTGCATCCCTACTTCATAAATTATATGTATTAAATAACCAAGAGACATGACAGGAGATTCTAATAGAATGAAATTATAAACTTAGTCCGATCAGAGAAATTGCTTAGAACGTACGGAAGGCAGCCGCTCACCTCTGTCTCCCACATCATACACGTTAGCAGATGATTAGACATCCACGGCTCCAGCCTTATCAAAATATCACCCTTTGTTCTTAGCTGAAGGACGCCGCTCTCATTCCATTTCCAAATATTTGCAACTACAGAATGAAGATTATAACTCTATCCAGACAGAGGAACTGTCTTAATGTGATTAAAAACATCAGTTCTGATGCGCAACAGGCAGCCAATACCAAGGTGTAATAAATTCGACCATTTTCAATGATAATCATCCTAACACCAACAATTTGCCTTGTTTTTGTTTAGAAAACATGCGAACTGAAAGGGACGAACGGGGCCAGCTCTTTGGAATGGAGGTCGTTTGGCTTCTTTAAGCCGGGCGGACACGTTTGATTTTTTTGCTCTTTTGGGGACGATTCTCCAGTTGTGTGAGAATTTTTCGATCGGGCGGACTTTCAGCCTGATGGTGTGGTGTAGCTGTACAGGGGGTAACGAGGGGCAATTAGCCCCTAACGACCACCCCCCATCAGGAATCTTAAGGTCGGGAGAAAATCAAACATGTTTGAAATTCAGGCGGCCGTCATAAGGTGGTCAAACAAGGATTCCTCTTCTTCTTCCTCTCAGATGTAAACCCAGCAGCATGGCAGGGGGGGCAATGAGTAAAATGGAGTTCTTTCTGTCAAACTGTCAGACCGTAGTAGCCACGTTAGCTCAGCCATGTCTTTGTCCAAATACGTCGTCTCCTTTTCTTTTTAGGGCTTTCAGCACTAAATTACCCAAATATCCAAGGCAGCGCGTTTCACTCTAGTGAGCTTCATGTTCCTCTGCTACTGGTTTGGCTTCTGGATAGACGAGTCCGAGTAGCGCCATCTCACTGCGGAGCTGAGTCCCACCTGTATTTTAGACGTACAGTGTGAGCAGGTAGATCGCATCAGAGCGCCGGGCCGCACAGCGAGAGAACAAACTGGGCAGTTAAAGGGAATTGTTGGTCTGGCTGAATAGGCGAGGTTCTATGTTCCCCTGTGAAGGGGTTGGAGTTGATAGCGGGAAGGGATACCTTCGAACTGTTCAGAGACATAGACAGGTATGGGGCATCACAGGCTAACAAAAGATCCAAACGACCCCCATTCCAAAGGGGTGGACCCGTTCATCCATTTCAATTTGCATGTTTTCTAAAGGCTTTGTTTGTATAAAGCAACTTAACTGACTTTTTGAATTAAAGAAGCTTCCTGGGTGGAAGAGAAACGTCTTCAAACTTGGAAACAAAGTCCAATGGATTGATTTTTAAACTTGTTTGAAAATCTAAATCAAGCAGATCTATTCACCATCATGATATGCAGTGAAGGCGTGCTGCTGTTCGTCGCTGTAGAAGCATTTCTTCCACAAAACAGCAATCTCTCCCCTGATGGCCTCGATCACACTCTTCATGCTCTTTATTTTCAGCAGCTCCAGGCGCTCCAGTTCTGCTTGGAGCTGTAAATAGAACTGATGTTACCACCACTTGGTTCTGCTCCGGTTAACGGAGGCGTTTACTGACAGACCAGGAAGCTTTCTTACTGCCTCCATGTTTTTCTTTTTGGAGTTGACCATGTGCTCAGAGAAAGCTTCCCGTTCTTCCTGAGGAACTTGAAGCCTTTCCCACAACTCCTGGATCTTAGAGCGGAAACCTGAACAGAGGAGCTCCTTCTGTGCCTTGCGTTCTTGCAACTGGGGGGGGAAATATATAACAAAAATGTACATTTCTAAAAATGTTAACCCTTAGTCAAACAATTAACACAAACAACACAGTAGGGTTTTTTTCTTTCTTCGAAATCTAAGCTAAATCTTTTCTAGGTTGGAGCTTTGTGGCTGACGTCTTCCAGGATCCAAAAGAAATTAGATCTTACATCGAAGTAATGCTTTTTTTTTTATTTAAAAAACAAACAAACAAAAAAAAACAACTTAAACAAATACAAACGAAAATATGGCTCCTAAACTTTCGTAAATCTAAGACTCACAGAGCACGGCATGGTAACGGCACGGTCAGAAAACCCTGAGGCACCAACCTTCCTCCCACTAAATAACGTCCTGTAGTTATTCTAAAGTCAAATTTTAACCTTGTGCATAAGTTTTAAACCTAAATTATTGATATAACGCATGAATTTAAATTAAATATCAATATGAAATAACATGAAATGTGAATCCGTGTAAATCCGTGTATCATTCGTTCTTTCTATTTTCAATTGTCAATCAAAAAACAAAAAATAAAAAATTGACTGGTTATTTTGTTTTTTATGGTTAAACCAAAAACGAAAAAAGGATTTGTTTTTCATATATCAATTCTAAGCTCAGATCTAGAATACGAAATGGAAAAACGGACAGCAACGCAGAATTTGATTTTAATATTTAATCGGTACAGTTTACATGACCCGGAAGTTTGGTGGAGCGTTAGCTAAAAAAACAATTGGCTTACTCCCACCACGTTCGATCAAGCTGCACCAGATAAGGCAGTCGGACCTATCAGCCATGGACAGTTACGCTCGAGGATCCAAGCGTGTGACTCTTAAGGAGGAGGACATGACAACGGAGAAAATCAGCAGGATTTTCCAGGTATAACTTTTTTCTTGAAACTTTTCTGTGCACTGTACTTTTAACTAGCAACAACAAACAGCGTTCTAGCGTCGCCATGGTAGCCACTTCATCACCCCACTGCCTCGCAAAGAGCTATTTCCGGGTCACGTAAACTGTACCGATTAAATATTAAAATCAAATTCTGCGTTTTTCCATTTCGTATTCTTGATCTGAGCTTAGAATTGATATATGAAAAACAAATCCTTTTTTCGTTTTTGGTTTAACCATAAAAAACAAAAAACAAAATAACCAGTCAATTTTTTATTTTTTGATTGACAATTGAAAATAGAAAGAACGAATGATACACGGATTGGACAGCAACGCAGAATTTGATTTTAATATTTAATCGGTACAGTTTACGTGACCCGGAAATAGCTCTTTGCGCGGCAGTGGGGTGATGAAGTGGCTACCATGGCGACGCTAGAACGCTGTTTGTTGTTGCTAGTTAAAAAGTACAGTGCACAGAAAAGTTTCAAGAAAAAAGTTATACCTGGAAAATCCTGCTGATTTTCTCCATTGTCATGTCCTCCTCCTTAAGAGTCACACGCTTGGATCCTCGAGCGTAACTGTCCATGGCTGATAGGTCCGACTGCCTTATCTGGTGCAGCTTGATCGAACGTGGTGGGGGTAAGCCAATTGTTTTTTTCAGCTAAAGCTCCACCAAACTTCCGGGTCACGTAAACTGTACCGATTAAATATTAAAATCAAATTCTGCGTTGCTGTCCGTTTTTTCCATTTCGTATTCTTGATCTGAGCTTAGAATTGATATATGAAAAACAAATCCTTTTTTCGTTTTTGGTTTAACCATAAAAAACAAAAAACAAAATAACCAGTCAATTTTTTATTTTTTGATTGACAATTGAAAATAGAAAGAACGAATGATACACGGATTAATATGAATATCAAATATACATAATATGGCTTAAAGTCAAAACTAAGCATAAAATAATCACCTGGCGCCTATAAACATAAAACTAAAAACATTTTGAGCGAGCTGACCTGACTGAGAAGAAGCTTCAGGGCTGTGATGTTGTCCTTCGACAGACAAAACGCCTCCTCATCTTCGCACATCACATCCATCTCAAAACTGGTCTCAGGATTCTGCTCCAGGTCGTTCATGCAAGCAACGATCTCCTTTTTGGTGTTGGTGAATTCATCGTGACGACGCTCCTGGAAAAGAACGACATTTTAAAGATCAGTTCTATTCAGTTTATTTCTATAGCTCCAATTCACATCATGTCATCTCAGGTCACTTTCCAGTTCACCAGATCATCCAGTCAGATTGATTCAAAGTTTTCTATCTAAGGAAAACCAGCTGATTGCATCGACTCTTTGACTCTTCAGCAATCCCTCACACTAAGCATGCTTGTAGCGATAGTGGAGAGGAAAAACCTAGTTTTAACAGGAAGAAACCTCCAGCAGAACCAGGCTCAGTGTGAGCGGCCATCTGCTGAGGCCCACTGGGGTTCAAGGAGACAGAAGCAGACATAGAAAAAGAAGCATAGATACAAAAGTCAACTGTCAACCAGCTCCACAGGCGGCCCCGTCCAGGAAACACACAGCCAGGCAGACGTGCTCCGAGCCAGCTCCCATGTCAGAGGATGAAGAGAGCACATCCAGTTAGTCACAGTCAGAGAAACAGGACTACACTGGAAAACAGGCCAAGCTCCAACATCTAGAAACAAAGGTGTTGATGGCAGCAGCACAGCTGATATTTCTCTCCAGGATGGAGTCACAGCCAAACAGGAACAGACCAGATGAAGCTACTATGAGAAAAAGCAGAGAGAGCAGAACGTTAGAGATCGAACTAACAGATTCTGCAGAGTGGGAGAATAGAGATAGAATGAAGCAGAATGATGAAAAAGGGGTCCCTATGTCCTCCAGCAGTCTAAGCCTATAGCAGCAGAACTATAGAGATAGCTCAGATCAAAAGTAAAATGGATGAATGAGAAAAGGCTCTGAAGCTACCTTCTCTTTGGTGCGCTCATCAAGGAAGCTACTGTAGGCCTGAAGCTGCTGCACTGATGGGACCAAGTTCTGGTCAATAGTGAAGGGGGTGGTACACATGATGTCACACAGCTCCCGGTCTTTGGCAACCAGGACTTTAAGCTCATCCAGTCGCTGTTTCTTTTGTTCTTTCAACACTTCTACACGAGTGCGGCAGTCCTTCTCCATCTGCAGGATGGTACAGCCTTCCTCCTCCTGCAAATAAACCAATAAACGCTTCAATGGAACAGAAAACTACTGAAGATGGTTAGCCAAAGGTCCTCCACTGTGATTAGAATAAGTTACTTATAACTGTGTTATTCAGCCCCATCCTTTAGAGCAAGGAAACGAAACAGTCGATCTTTTCCCACTTGAGTTGTAGATAGAGCACATTGACAAACGAAAACTTTTTTTTTTTTTTTGTGATTGCAAAGTAGGGATAGAACGGTTTATGAAAACCGCCCGAACTGTTCGGTTCAACTGTCTCGGTTCGGTTCGCGTGTGTTGCGTTCGGTTCATGCGCTGCTCCTTTTTCTCATAGGCGAAGCGTTTACACTCCAGAGCAGAAGGTGGCGGTACTGCGACCAAAGCCAACCACCAGTAGTAAACAAGAAGAAGAAGAAGCGAAGCAGCGTAGCCGGGTGTAGCAGAAAAAATCAGTTGTTGTGGAGAATTGTGTGGGTATGGGAGTGGGAAAGAACAGGAGTTGGAAGACGCGCCAGCAGCACTTTATAGGTCTGCTGTATGGGACCATGCGTGGAGCCCGTAGAGCAAAACACTATCGGTGCTCGTGTCATTTCCAGAAAGTCATGTGACTGACTCAGGAGTTGTTTCTGACTGACTGAATAAACTGTGTTTCTGTCAATATGATGCATCTGCTAAAAAAATGTTTCATCTTTTGCATTTTATCATTAAAATTAACCAAAATGTTGGAGCCGTTGCGTTTTTATTTTAATTTGCTCGTTGTGTCATCCTGTTCCTCTCAGTTATCACTCAACTAATGTGAATTAGTCAATTTAAAATTGACTCTTATTTTATTTACTGTTTTTACTATACTTATTGTTTTTAAATTATGATTTAAAATCTTAGTCCACAAGAATCCTCATTCGTTTTCCCCTAAATTCTCCCTTTATGATTTATATTTACATTTATTGGCTGCATCCAAAAATATCAAAGATATTTTCAATTTAAACACAGATGTGAAGTAATACAATATAACCTACAATATCTTAAATAATATTATTGTACTAGGCAGGATCGGACTGGTAATCTGTGATACCGGGCATGTACCCCAGTGGGCCGGGCCTAATTTCAGCGTGTGAGGGCCGGCCATCCTTAAATTATACCGGCCCCAACACTTTCTCTCCGGCTGAAGCTCCGGTGACAGTAGATAACTGAAGGAGCTTAAGAAGTCATCCAATGTTAACTACCTAAATGATGCATGCAGTATATATATAACCTGACTCCACCAGATGGATTTGCTCCGCATATCCATCTGGAAACCTTCCGTTGAAGTAATTTTGGGTAGGGGCGAAAATACTGGTTAGCTGATTGGCCTATGTTGGTGATAGACGGGCCAAATAAACCAATCAGATCAACGAAGCATATGACGTACTAACAGAGCGACGACGAAGAGGAGCCAATCGATAGATCAAACTCTTGCTGAAACCAGTCGGGAGAAGAGCAAAAACATCTTTTCCTCTGAGAAAAGCCTCCAGAGCAGTGTTTTGCTCTTCTTTCAGTGAATACTCTGTAATTCCCATAAAACTTGCCCGATAGCCACGCTAACGCTAGTTTCATCGGCTGAAGCCGCCATGTTCTTTAGACTGAACTGTCGCGCTTCTCGTTGCGTCACACCTCAACCCGCCTCAAAGCCAACGCTGATTGGACGTTCGTTTGGTGAACGGCTCCAAATTTTCTTTAACGGAGAGTCTCCAGACTGACTAGCGAGGGAAACCTTGAAAGCTCGCGAGATCAGGATGGTCTAACGAGGCTAGTATATATAGCCCTTCCTTGTGACGGTTGGCATATGGTGTCATTTTCTATTTCTTCAAACTGTAAAATCATTGCAACAAACTAAATTATAATAAAACTAAAATTCTTTCTTTAAACCAAACTACAATGTTCCTCTTAAATTTGGTGAATTAATGTTTGAATATTTTGCAAAAATCTGTTGGGGTGCATGATGGGGTTTTGCATCCCAAAGGTTGCCACCTAGACTGGCGGTGAACTCTGACACGCCGCTGAGCTTTCATGGATTCATTCTTGAAGAACTGCCTGTCTGCCTCTAGATTGGATTGTTTTATGTTGGTGTTTTTACAACACTTACGTTGTAGACCTAGTGTGTCTGAGTGGGAGTCTGGCTGGCTTCGTGGAAGTGTGGACGTTACGCAGCAGCAGTCACTGTGGCGTTAATAACCAAAGCCAGCTTCTTTTTTTTCTGGGAGGGTGTCCATAAATGGGCCGGTGTAGAAGAAAAAATGCCAGGGCCGATAAACGCTCCCAGTCATCAAATCAATTCAGTTTAGTCTGTCAGAGAAGCTGCCTGCAGTGTCTTTAAAGGTCCAGCAGGTGTCAGTATTCTGTGAGACAGAATCATCAGTAGAATTTGGCTTCAAGGCGCCTCATTAAAGGCATACTATGCAACATTTTTCAGTTAATTAATGTGTTCCGTAACGTTTTGCATGATTAAATGAGTCATTTCAGGTTGAACAAAGGTATTCTCGGCCACCCTGGTGGTCTGTGGGGGAAATAGCGCACTTGCAATTGCAGGAGCACCGACCCGCACCCACAGGCTCAGAAGTCTCGTGAGAGTCAGTCTTGCTTTACGGCGAGAACTGCTACACGCCCCCAGTTGAAAGCATGCTCGTTGCTAGCACAGTGGCGATCTTTGTGCAGTTATCATGGCGGAACCAGCGTGAAAACAGCGAAAGCCCATGTCGGAGCAGGCAAGAAAGAGGAAAAGGGCTCCGGACAGCGCCTATCTGCTAAGGTCAAAACAACCGTGCCTGGTTTGACGGAGAAACCAGGAGAACAGCTGAGCATATTTACGACAGTGCACCTTTACTTTCGCCCTCTGTGGGGAGCCTCGCTGGAAAATCAACACCGGTTGCATAGTGTACCTTTAACCATCACAGGGAAATTTATTTTGTATAAGAGAAAATCTCTATACTACAGAGAATGGGAGGAAAAAGGTATCTGGGCCATTTTACATCTTATGGACACAAAGGGTGATATTCTGGATTACACAGTATTTAAAAGAAAATATAATTTAGATTGTCCACGGAAACCATTTCTATCTCTGATTAGGGCAATTCCAGCAACCATTAAATATTTGGTCAAAGAAATGATTAAATATTCTGATGTAACACCGATCTTTCCCACTATAGATAATTACGATTTTACGGATCTCAAATTTAATAACAAACAACAATAACAAACACATAAACAACACAATTTTTCCTCTCCCAGTTAAGAGGAACTTATCTTTAAACGTGTTTTCAGAGACGGAAGTTCTTAAGGTCAGAACCACATTTTTCTCATTTCCTATATTACCAAACATGAAAGAAGTTCATTTTAAAACTATAAATAATATATATCCCTGTGCTACGAAGAGGATTAGGGCCATTGAAAAATAAATAAATAAAAGTTAACTGTTTTTTTTTATTTTATTTTATTTCAATAAAGTCAGAATTCTGACTTTTGTTATTGTCAGAATTCTGATTTTTTTCCCCATACTAAACTGAAATAAAATAAAAAAATCAGTTAACTTTTTTTTTTCCCCCACTGGCCCTAATCCTTTTCCATACTGTGCAGAGTTCTTAAGTTTAAGATTTAAATGTGATGTTAATGTAAGTAACTTTTGTCAGAAAGATCTAGAAACACAAGAACATCTTTTTTACAGTTGTGTGATTAAGTCAACGAAAAATGTGATTCCTAATTCTGAATATAAAGGAGTTAAATTAGGCATTACTTTTCATCATAAAAATGTGGAATTTTTATGCAATATTATTTTGATTATGGGAAAATTCTTTCTCCACAAGTGCAGATTCTTTAAAGTTTCTCCAAATTTTCAAGCATTCCAATTTATATTATAAGTTTTCATGACTCATGAAACAACAAGGCCTTAAAATTTTCAGACTTGATAGCAATAAACTTTAGTTAAACCCCTGTGTTTTTTTTTCTGTTTAATTTTTCTTTCTCATTCTTTTATGTGTATTTTTCTAAAAGAAAACAGTTATGGATGGCATATGTTCAATTGTACGTTTCTGCTTTACTGAAAGTGTTTTTTGGATTTATGAAAATAAAAGTTAAAACCATCAGAGTTACTTTGATTGTACCTCAAAGGGTGGCAGCTGCAGCTCGCTGTATAAAACACTAAGCGCATTCTTACATGACTCAATGTTTTTTAATAATCGCTGCTTTAGTTCCTGCTCCTCAGCAATCATCAGATCCAGCAAACCCTGCAGAGTTAAAAACAGAAATAAATACATTAATAATACATATAATAACTCCAGCATTGGTTGCTTGGATTTCCAACACTCACTTTTACATGTTTATGAGCCTCGTTGGTTCTGCGGAGCCGCTGCTCTTCAGGAATCCCGATTTCGTCCCAGATTTCCTGCAGCTTCACCAGAGCCCTGTTCAGGTAGGCCACGGACTCCGCTGCGTGGACTTCACTGGACACGAGTGGGAATAAAAGCCGAGCGCATTAAGCACAAATTAGTTTAAAGTCCAGTGCTTAGCCTTAAAACTATTAGGCTAATATTAGCTAGCTGACTATGCTAGCTAGCTAAACTTTAAATCCAGTTTATTTCAATCCAGTTGGAACAAATACAGTAAAATAAGGTACATTTCACACGTTAACATTTCACCAGCCTATAGTTATATTCTTGTTAAATGTTTAACTCAAACCGCATCTCTTATTAGCTAACAATGAATAATAAAAATAAAGAAACAGGATTCCTGATAACAAATAAAAAGTCCGGTACTAACCTCACTCTCATTTCTCTGCCACAGAAAACCGAAACAAAAAGGTGGGGACAACTTTTCTAACCCCAAAAAACTCAGTGGCTCACAAATAAAATAACTAGTAAAGATAAACGGCCCCGCTGGCTGTCTAACGTTGGTTTGGTTTATTTAAAATCTGCACCGAAACAAGAACTGAGCGCTGATTGGCTGCTTGAAATACCGGAATCGGTCCGTTTTTAACACCATACTGCCACCATGTGGATTGGAGTACGTATCGCACCGGCCCTGCTTGTTCTCCAACAGAAGCTTCCATATGAGCCTTGGTCCAACTCTTTTTTTTTAATTATTTTTTTTTATAAACTTTATTAGAAAACGTTTAACAATACAGAAAAACAAACAATTTCCAATGAACAATCAGCAGGGGTTTGAGCAAAAATAATAATAATAAAAAATAAATAACTAAAAAATAAAAATTTATTAAATAAAAGTACAAATAGTAATAATAAATAGAAGCATATAAAGGGATTATATAAATACTTTAAATTTAGAGCATAAAGTTATAGTTTTAGCAGCCATTTTGTCATTGGAGGAGTTGCTTCATTTAAAAAAGAAATACATGGGGGTTTAGTCACAATAATTTTACATTTGTGGATATAAAACTTGGACAACAGTAACAGAAGATTACATAAGAAGAAATGTTCATAAAGTTCTTTTTTATATTTTGTGATTTAAAATAAAACATCTTTAAAATAAAGTTCAAATTTATCATAAATATTGTCCAGAATGAAGCGACAGATACCTTGCCAAAAACGCCTGGCGTGTTCACAGGACCAAAACAGATGAGAGACAGATTCTGAGTAAATGTTGCAGAAAGTACAAGTGGTATCAATGTCCTTTTTATATCCTTTGGTCCAACTAAACAGGCTTTTTAGGACTTTAATCTTCACACAGGCGGAGCTGTATAAAATCAGCTCTTCAAGGTGTAAACATATAAGCTTTGTGTGGTTTTAAAATTAGGTAAGAGGATTAGGGCCACTGAAAAAAAGTTAACTGATTTTTAAATATTATTTCAGTTTAATTTGGGAAAAAATACGGAATTCTAACTTTAATCTCAGAATTCTGACATTTTTTCTCAGAATTCTGACTTTTTTCTCAGAATTTTTACTTTTACGTGCCTGAGGGGTCCCCAGTGATGCTTTTTAATTAATGGAAGAGCAGAAGGTGATTAAAACCAGAGAGCTGGTCTCTAAAACAGACATGGCTACGACTTAATGCTAACATTTTATTACCTGTCAGAATTCAGTCAGAATTCTGAGAATAAAGTCAGAATTCTAACTTCTTTCCTGTATTAAACTGAAATAATATTTAAAAATCAATTAACTTTTTTTTCAGTGGCCCTAATCCTCTTCAATGTAAAATGTATTTAAAACTTTTAAAGAAAAGTAAAAGTAAAAAGAAAAAAGTAAAAACTGCTGGTGAAGATTCTCATTCATCCAGGAAGCCTTTTCAATTCCAAATGTCAGAAATAGCTGACAGAGCTGCTTTATAGTTGATTTTATAGTTCGGCTACAGTATAAAGCAACTTCCTGGATGGGAAGCAAAATGTTTTCAAAATTGGAACCAAAGTCCAGTGGATTGTTTTTAACTTTTTAGGAATAAAAAGTTCAAATAACAAAAACTGGGAATCAAAAAATAATAACAAGAAAACTTGGAGATTATAAATTAGTTAATTGTGAATTAGGGCTTAAACAATTTAGTAATCATTCAATCATTAACTGGAGTATAGAGACTCTAAAACCTGCCGTTAGCTGACAGAGCGACCCACTTAGAGCAGGAATTATACAAAAAAAATGTATGTATTTTTTTGTTTTACCTGGTTTCATTTAGTAAAAAGTCTTCTTTAAGGAACCTTTGGCTGGCCAATTATTAATCAACAAAATAACTGACAGATTAATCTATTTTCAAAATAATCATGAGTCGCAGGCCTACAGTGAATGTGCCAAACCGCAGCCCCACTTTAAGAAGATAGTTTATTCAGAACATAATTCTTATACAGGTCAGACCTGCACTGCTGCACTACTACAGCCTCACATAACTTATTGGAAGATGTCAAAAAGCTCTCTAGTTTTCACTCTGTTTTTAATTGGATTCTGGATTTTAAAAAGACAAACAAATAGATAAAATTTGTATTTTCCTCATGCAAAAAAAAAGCCTAATTAAGGATTCAGGCGTCACTTAGAGCTGGATTATAAATAATCAAATTAATTGACATATCATAATTAATTATTGTAATTAATTAATTGGCAATAGGTGGGGTACACCCTGCAGAATGCTAGTCGGTCTTTGGGCAACGCAGAAACAGGCAGGGTGAAAAACATCCAACTAGATACTTGCACAGATTCCTAATCCCATTTCAGATTAGCTACTTAAACCAACATGATTGTTTTTAAAATGTAGGGGGAAAAAGTAGGAGATTTGATGCATGCAGAAGGAAAACATGCAGACAACATGCAAGATGATGTCTGACCAGGATCCAGATCCAAAGCAATATATTATAAACTGCGCCACTGGTGTATGATCATGTTACATCTCTGTTAGCATATTTGGAAAAAGTAATTTGATGTATAAATGTTTGTCTACTCCTGGTGAGTTATAGGTTTAAATTCGATTAGCTGACCTTATTTCGGTGCAGGACAGCTCACTGCTTGTGTCTCTGGTGTTATTTATACTTCTATCCCTGAGAGTCACCGTTGTTTTTATATCCCCAGGTGTTTACTGAGCCCAGTTCATTTAGGGATGAAGTTGAATCCATATTTGATGTGCCCCCCCCCCCCCCCCCCCCCCCCCCCCCCCCCCCCAAGCCTGCACAATCTGCCTGCAGCTGCAGGTTCTTCCCAGAGCTCAGTTCTTTCATGGTTGCACAAAGTACTGAATTCTCTGTTTCATTGATCCTTCAGAATGAGGAGTTCTGATGAAAATGAAAAAGAGAGATCATATCTCTCCTATTCTGGCTTCTCTTCATTGGCTTCCTGTTAAATCCAGAATAGAGTTTAAAATCCTCCTTCTCACATATAAAGCCTTAAATGGCCAAGCTCCATCTGATATCAGAGATCTGATTGTTCCTTATGTTCCTAACAGAGCACTTCGCTCTCAATCTGCAGGTTTACTAGTGGTTCCTAGAATTTCTAAAAGTAGAATGGGAGGCAGATCTTTTAGTTCTCAGGCTCCTCTCCTGTGGAACCAACTACCAGTTTTAGTCCGTGAGGCAGACACCCTGTCTACTTTTAAGGCCAGGCTTAAAACTTTCCTTTTTGATAAAGCTTCTAGTTAGAGTGGCTCAGGTTATCCTGAGCTATCTCTATAGTTCTGCTGCTATAGGCTTAGACTGCTGGAGGACATAGGGACCCCTTTTTCATCATTCTGCTTCATTCTATCTCTATTCTCCCACTCTGCAGAATCTGTTAGTTCAATCTCTAACGTTCTGCTCTCTCTGCTTTTTCTCATAGTAGCTTCATCTGGTCTGTTCCTGTTTGGCTGTGACTCCATCCTGGAGAGAAATATCAGCTGTGCTGCTGCCATCAACACCTTTGTTTCTAGATGTTGGAGCTTGGCCTGTTTTCCAGTGTAGTCCTGTTTCTCTGACTGTGACTAACTGGATGTGCTCTCTTCATCCTCTGACATGGGAGCTGGCTCGGAGCTCGTCTGCCTGGCTGTGTGTTTCCTGGACGGGGCCGCCTGTGGAGCTGGTTGACAGTTGCCTTTTGTATCTATGCTTCTTTTTCTATGTCTGCTTCTGTCTTCTTGAACCCCAGTGGGCAGGGACGTGGCTAGACCTATTTTAGGGTGGCTGAAGTCATCCCTTCGTTGGTATTAGCCACCCCATAATTATTTTGCAATTTTTATTGTTATTTTTTTATTTATTGATTTTTTTTCCATATAACCCCAAACAATTGCAGTAAAGCACTGAAAACGAGCCACCAAGAAGGCAAGTTAATCTGAAGATAAGTTCCTGTTAGTTTATTTACAAACACAATTATTTATACAATTATTAATATCGTTAGGATATTCATTTCCTTCATTGGCTCCGCGTCCAGCGTCACGTCACGTGGTACACGGCCATCAACTGGACCATAGCAGCTGTGCAGTGCAGCAACAGCGCGCCCTTTGAATCTCCACACAGTCATCGAGCTTGATTAGGAAAGTTATGGTTGCGTGCAGATACATACGGTGAGTTTGCCATTTGATGTCAGCGGTTTACATTTTCTTCACTTTACCTGGAGTGAGGAAAGAGACAATATACAGGTGCTGGTCATAAAATTAGAATATCATGAAAAAGTAGATTGATTTCAGTAATTCCATTTAAAAAGTGAAACTTGTATATTATATTCATACATTACATACAAACTCATATATTTCAGATGTTTATTTTGTTTAATTTTGATGATTACAAATGACAACAAATGAAAATCTCAAATTCATCATATCAGAAAATTAGAATATTGTGAAAAGGTTCAAAATTGATGGCCCCTGGTGCCACACTCTAATCAGCTAATTAACTCAAACCACCTGCAAAAGCCTTTAAATGGTCTTTCAGTCTAGTTCTATAGGCTACACAATCATGGGGAAGACTGCTGACTTGACAGTTGTCCAAAAGACGACCATCGACACCTTGCACAAGGAGGGCAAGACACAAAAGGTCATCGCTAAAGAGGCTGGCTGTTCACAGAGCTCAGTGTCCAAGCACATTAATAGAGAGGCGAAGGGAAGGAAAAGATGTGGTCGAAAAAAGTGTACAAGCAAGAGAGATAACCGCACCCTGGAGAGGATTGTGAAACAAAACCCATTCAAAAATGTGGGGGAGATTCACAAAGAGTGGACTGCAGCTGGAGTGAGTGCTTCAAGAACCACCACACACAGACGTATGAAAGACATGGGTTTCTGCTGTCGCATTCCTTGTGTCAAGCCACTCTTGAACCACAGACAGCGTCAGAAGCGTCTTGCCTGGGCTAAAGAGAAACAGGACTGGACTGCTGGTGAGTGGTCCAAAGTCATGTTCTCTGATGAAAGTAAATTTTGCATTTCCTTTGGAAATCAAGGTCCCAGAGTCTGGAGGAAAAGAAGAGAGGCACTTCATCCACGTTGCTTGAAGTCCAGTGTAAAGTTTCCACAGTCAGTGATGGTTTGGGGTGCCATGTCATCTGCTGGTGTTGGTCCATTGTGTTTTCTGAGGTCCAGGGTCAACGCAGCCACATACCAGGAAGTTTTAGAGCACTTCATGCTTCCTGCAGCTGACCAACTTTTTGGAGATGCAGATTTCATTTTCCAACAGGACTTGGCACCTGCACACAGTGCCAAAGCTACCAGTACCTGGTTGAAGGACCATGGTATCCCTGTTCTTAATTGGCCAGCAAACTCTCCTGACCTTAACCCCATAGAAAATCTATGGGGTATTGTGAAGAAGAAGATGCAATACACCAGACCCAACAATTCAGAAGAGCTAAAAGCCACTATTAGAGCAACCTGGGCTATCATAACACCTGAGCAGTGCCACAGACTGATCGACTCCATGCCACGCTGCATTGCTGCAGTAATACAGGCCAAAGGAGGCCCAACTAAATACTGAGTGCTGTACATGCTCATACTTTTCATGTTCATACTTTTCAGTTGGCCAACATTTCTATAAATCCTTTGTTTTTATTGGTCTTCAGTAATATTCTAATTTTCTGATATGATGAATTTGAGATTTTCATTTGTTGTCATTTGTAATCATCAAAATTAAACAAAATAAACATCTGAAATATATGAGTTTGTATGTAATGTATGAATATAATATACAAGTTTCACTTTTTAAATGGAATTACTGAAATCAATCTACTTTTTCATGATATTCTAATTTTATGACCAGCACCTGTAGGCCTAATAGCTTGTCTGATTCAGTAGGAATTACGTTACCATGGTGAACAAAGTCAGTGGTGTGGGAAAACACGATGTTGTTGTAGCCTACTAGCATCATTATAATAGTTTTGTCACAGGAGCAGTGATGGGCAGTAGCGCCGCTACATGTAGCGAAGCTATTAGTTTAACTACATTTTCAAGTAGCTTGACCGTAGCGTCGCTGCTTTATTTATCAAGTAACTTTCCTGTAGCGACGTTATTGTTTTGATCAAGTAGCGACGTAGCGTCCACAAACGCTACAAAATCCAGGGCAAAACTAAGAAATGAAACCAGGTTTTCTATTTCTAAACAACAATCAGCCACAAAACTACTGTAAATAGCAGTTTCAGCTGACGCTTTATAAGTGGCGTAGTAGCACAGGCACACTCCGTAGGGTTAAACAAGCGCACCTTTTCCGAGGCTGTCGTTCTATTGGCTGGAAAGGTTGCTAGGCAACGATCCAACTGCAGTCTGAGAGAGCAAAACAAATCCGCAAGCAGAGCGTAACTGAGACCCGTGCAGAGCGGAGATGGAGGCAAGCGAGAGGAAAAAATATCTGTGATAATATAGAAAATATCTGTTTAAATCTGAGAGAAGAAACAAAGATTTTTGAGAGAAGAGAAAATATTTGAGAGAGAGCGCATGTTTTGAGTGTGAGCATTATACGTTTTGAGTGCAAGAAGATGAAATTCTTTTCTCTAATTGAAGTTATGTGCTCTTGCATTATGGCAGGATAATTCTCCCATATCTATGTGCCACCAGTCTGATAGGGCGACACTGTGTGATATGGTAGTGCTTCCTTGGGTTGACTATAGTTCTAAGTTGTACGTTTCATATACTGTTGATTTTGTGTTTTCATTAATACATTGTACTTAAAAATACTTCCTTTATTTGCATTAAAACTTTGTCAGACTGATGTGAAAAAGTCTCAAGGATATCCTTCTTTGCAATGATGCTATTGCCTATTGCCTACTGTCCATTTATGCAACTTGTATTTTGTGGTTAAACTTTAGATTAAGCAGAAATCTATCAAAGATAATGCTGCATTTATTGTTAAGTTCCTCACATATATGTGTTTCTCTCTGTGCCAGGTGTAGAGAAAGACATGCCAAAGTCCAGGTCACACACACACACCAAGCACACACACAGAAACAGGGTTATTGCAAAGCAGACAGGGGTTCCTGACAGGTTGTGGGTGCAGGGGAGATGGGGAAAGATGAATGGCCAGGTTAAGGGTTTATGAAGATGTTGGGAGTCTGTTGGTTAGACAACTGTCTTCTGTAGAAGGTTTCCATTATGATGAGTGGCGAACCACTTGCCTTCTTCCATTTATGCAGTAATGCATGGCACCTACCATTTACTCTTTGTAATTTAGCACATTTTAACTGGTGTAGTTTAGTTGGTGAAGTAGCATTAGTGAGGGAAGTGTTTCCCAGGTATGTTGCTCTTAAAATAATGAATTTATAGACAGCGCCTTAGAAAGTGCACTGAAAAAATTTCGGCGCGCGCTATGCGCGCGCAATATCTTACCTAGGGGCTAAGCCACCCATGTCTCTCAAACCTAGTGACGGCCCTGCCAGTGGGCCTCAGCAGATGGCCGCTCACACTGAGCCTGGTTCTGCTGGAGGTTTCTTCCTGTTCAAAGGGAGTTTTTCCTCTCCACTGTCGCTACAAGCATGCTTAGCGTGAGGGATTGCTGAAGAATCAATGAGTCGATGCAATCAGCTGGTTTTCCTTAGATAGAAAACTTTGAATCAATCTGACTGGATGATCTGGTGAACTGGAAAGTGACCTGAGATGACATGATGTGAATTGGTGCTATAGAAATAAACTGAATTGAATTCAATTCAATATATATATATATATATATTCTATTACCAGACATGTAAGATTAGATGTACAGCCATGTAGCAGCATCTTTGCTGAATGGCTGACTATAGATCTTGTGCTTCTAGACCTCACTGAGGGACAGGGGATTCCATTTGTAAGGGTTAAGGAGGTTTTATTAGTCTTAGAGTCTCTTAAATATGCTTTAAAATGCACAGCAGTTTCATTTTCATTACTAATCCTTGTGTTTCTCTTCCAGGCTGCGGACATTTTTTGAGTTTTCTGACTCAGTCTAATGAGATGGGCTTCCAGCAAAGTGCAATCAAAGGCCACTGTGAGCGAGCGCTAGAGGAGCTGATGACACGCATGGCTTAGGCAGCTGATCGTCTAAAGATTTCCTCTGACACAAACGTCTCTTTGTTGAAATCAAGCTGCAGAGAGAATAAAATGACCTGATGACACGTAGACTAGGTTCATACATTTTTATTTACAGCCTGATCTTAAAAAAATATAAAATACCAAAGAACCAGAATAAAAACAGTAGCCAATACAGTTAATCACATTATGTAAAAAGTTTGCAGGTTAAAATATCAAAATGCCACAGAATGTGCAAAGTAGTCACAGAAAATATAAACAGCAGGAAAAAAAATGCCACTGCAGTGACATTGGGACAAAATAAAAAATAAAAAGAGGAGTATTTACAGCAATTAAAACATTTCCATTTTTCTTTGCAAGTCAACATTTCAAAGCTGCCTGTTATCCTGAGCTCTGCTGCTGCTCTGAACGCTCACTGATGGCTGACGGTGGAGTTCAGCAATCCCGTCTTCATATTTGATTTAGCAGCATTTGAGAGGTCCTTCTGCAACAAAAAGCATCAATTAGAATAGAAAATCCCTTTATTGTCCCACAATGGGGAAATTCTGCTGTTTCCAGCAGCAAAGATTAGAGAAAAAAATATGGCCCTTAAAAAAAAGTATAAGAATAACATAATAGTGAAAGGTTAAAAGATAAACTTTAAAATACTGTAAAGTATTTTAACAATATCAAAAACTTTTCACCTGGAGAATAATTAACCAATATATAGATATGCATGTTTTTACAGTAATGGATATTTGAAAATAGCAGCAACATCAGAGATGTACAAAATATTTAAATGACTAAGGTAGAAACTGCAAAATCAGCATGAATGGAACAGCAAAGGTATACTATGCAACCGGTGTTGATTTTCCAGCCAGAGGGCAAAAGTAAAAGTGCACTGTCGTAAATATGCTCAGCTGTTCTCCTGGTTTCTCCGTCAAGCCAGGCGCGGTTGTTTTAAGCTAAGCAGACAGGCGAACGCAACGAATCACCATGTCTACTGCGGTAAGTGACTATTTGAAAATTTAGCATGTTTTCAAACATTATTTGTTATGCATGTGTCTAAATCACAAAGATTGTAGCTAGCCAGGTTGGAGTTTCCCATACATTTATCCGACTGTCGGATGACATGGGTTTTCGCTGTTTTTTCGCTGGTTCCGCCATGATAACTGCACTGCGCTAGCAACGAGCATGCCTTTCACTGGGGGCGTGTAGCAGTTCTTGCCGTAAAGCAAGACCGACTCTCGCGATGCACGAGACTTCTGAGCCTGTGGGTGCGGGCCGAGGGCTCCTGCAATTGCAAGTACGGTATTTCCCCTACAGACCACCAGGGCGGCTGAGAAAACCTTTGTTCGACCTGAAATTACTCATTTAATCATTCAAAACGTTATGGAACACATTAATTTATGCGATTTTTGCCCTTTTCACACCGATTTTCCAGTCGTGCGAGAATTTTTCGATCAGGCCGACTTTCAGCCTGATGGTGCGTGGTGTAGCTGTACAGGGGGTAAAGAGGGGCCTTTAACGACCACCTCCCCATCAGGAATCGTGAGGTCGGGAGAAAATCATGTTTGAAATTGAGTCGGGCGTACGCTGTACAATTGTTTTTTCAATCGTTGAACGCAGCTACAGCTCACACTGTACGATAAAACTGCAGGGTTTAAAAGCTGCCAGCTCACCATGTTTGTTCTCACGCTGTGCGACCCGACGCTCTGATGCGATCTACCTGCTCACACTGTACGTCTAAAAACCAGGTGGGACTCAGCTCCGCAGTGAGATGGCGCTACTCGGACTTGTTTATCTGGAAGCCAAACGATTAGCAGAGGAACATGAAGCTCACTAGAGTGAAACGCGCTGCCTTGGATATTTGGGTGATTTTGTGCTGAAATCCCTAAAAAGAAAAGGAGACGACGTATTTGGACAAAGACATGGCTGAGCTAACATGGCTACTACGGTCTGTCAGTTTGACAGGAAGAACTCCATTTCACTCATTGCCCCCCCCCGCCATGCTGCTGGGTTTACATCTGAGAAGAAGAATCATCATCCTTGGCCGTTTCTCAATCTTTGTTCTTGTGCGTTCTCATGTGCTAGTGATACGTACGGTGGCCCTGAAGTGCAAACTGCAACTACAAATCTAAAAGAGCAACTAAATTAAGGAAAACACAATTACATTAAGGAAAACACAATTACATTAACCTACCGGAAAAGGTAGGTACCAGTGGGAAACATGAGACATCGCTGATTGGACAACGGCGCCGTTTGACCCTTGAACCGGAAGTTGCGTCGTCTGAACAGTCCAGCTTCTTTTAAGTGTGTCTTCAGTGTTCGCAAACTAACTGAAATTTCGTGATTAGTCTTGAGCATATCCAGTATCGCCTCGTACGTATGTCCTGATTCAAAATATTCCTGGATAACGGCAGCTATGTTTGGGGCGCCGACAATATCCATGTTTTCAAAAGCCGCAGCAGGCAGAATGACTTCCGGTTCAAGGGTCAAACGGCGCCGTCGTCCAATCAGCGATGTCTCATGTTTCCCACTGGTACCTACCTTTTCCGGTAGGTTAATGTAATTGTGTTTTCCTTAATGTAGTTGCGCTTTTAGATTTGTAGTTGCAGTTTGCACTTCAGGGCCACCGTAGATACATCATCACCCTCAGCCCTAGTACTGCTCCAATTCACAGAAACAGCAGACCAAGGACGGATAAAGTCCCCGGATGTTGTTCTGGCCCCTCCCTCTTTACCCAGCATGCATCAGAGCAGATTTGTCCGTTCACCAGATTGACAGCTGTCCCAGCATGCACTGCTGCAGCAGCAGCTTTCAATGGAGTTTTATTTGGCAAAATGTTCTTTTTATTTGTGTTTATCTGACTGTTAATTAGTATTCCCCCACTAAATGAAAATAGTCTAGATGAGCCGGGCGTGTGGTGATGTCATCAGTACGCTTCTTTTCCATTTGACCCAGATTTATTCTGCGTGCTCCCGTTCTCCGCAAGTCCAGACTCTCCTGGGTTCTTCTCAGGAACATACTTGGCGAGAACACGAGTCCGTACTCGCGTTCTAGTAAATTGAGAAACGGTGCTTCTGTGCCCACTGAGCGATTTGCCCACGCACATGTACAGCAAATGGACTGATCCAATATGGCGGACATTGAAGGGTGGGGGGTGGGGCACACTTATTATAAGCGTTCTGATGGCATTGTAGCAAAAGGGTTGCAAATAATGTTTTTTTTTAATCAAAAATATAATGTGCACGAATAAGCAATACTGGTATTAACAATAAATATAAACAGTTTTATGGGGCCCCAGGAACCTCTGACTAATGGTAAATCCCCCCCCCCCAAAAAAGAGGATTACTCAGAGATGCATGAATCAAGCTAAACTTCGATTATCATTTCTATGATGGAAGAGCATTACGACATTAAAACAAAGTTAATTTTGCAAGATAACAGAGTGTTTTTCTATCATCATGATTGACAGATTTTAAAGGAAGATCAGTAAAATCTGATGATCTTTTGTTTGATATCAGACTGAGACATCACTGAGTTTTAATGATGTTTAATAGATAAACGATCCACAAGATACAGAAATATGTTCATAAATAAATCCACAAAAGAAAATTTCAAATATTCTAACCCGTTAAATATATACAGTCATATGAAAACATTTGGACAGCCTTATTAATCTTAATTATTTGTGTTTCTAAATATTTGGGTGTTTGAAGCAGCTAGTTCAGTTTGATACATCTAATAACTGACGGACTCAGTAATATTTCAGTATTGAATCGAGGTTTATTGGATTAACAGAAAATGTGCATTAAAACAAAATTTGAAAGGTGCAAAAATATGCAAACCTCAGCAAAAAAAGAGACATTAATATTTAGTAGATTCTCCTTTTGTAAAAACCAACAGCCTCTAGTTGCTTCCTGTAGCTTTGAATGAGTTCCTGGATCCTGGATGAAGGGATTTGTGACCATTATTCTTTGCAAAACAATCCAGTTCAGTTAAGTGTGATGGTGGCCGAGCATGGAGAGCCTGCTTCAGATTAGGGGTGGGTATTGGCAAAGAAGTCATTAATCGATTCAAATCACGATTCACATGCCGCGATGCGATTCTATCACGATGCATCACGATACTTGAAATATTGAGATGCATTGCAATATTTTCACTGAACAATGTAAGAAAAAGATCCAGCCCTTACCAGTGGCTGACTGGCTGGGTATGATCTGGATCGTGTCTTCAACTGATACAGAACTGAAAGAAACTGAATTCATACATAGCTGTATTTATTGAAACGACTTTTGGAGGTGTTGCCATGGAAACAAATACTGGACAGAAATATTACTATTACTGTCGTGGACACACTGACAAAAAGATCTTAGGATTCATCAAACTTAAAATAACAAAATAAGGATAATCAGAGCCGTTTACATGGCCTCAGTGGTCCTTTTGCAAATTACGTGCATCATATCAATTTCGTTTTTACCTTCTTTGTTTTTAAAGCCAAAATGCATCCAAGCATCTGACTTGAAATGTGATGGAACCGAGGGGCGAATTTTCTCAGTCTCCTCCATATTTTGTTTACGAATGACTCGTCTCAGCATCCCACGGCCGGAAATGCTTGTGACACAAAGCAGCGTGCGTCAACACATCTGCAGCGACATCTGCTGGACTGGAAGTTGTATTCCACTTGGTTTGGCTGATGTGCGCCAACCATTAATGTATTTTATTTGTTCTTTTTTTTTTTTTATAATTGATTCTTGCCTTCAAGAATCGATGCAGTAGATCCCGAAAATTAGAATCGCGATGCATCGTCATGACAATTATTTTGCACACCCTTACTTCAGATCATCCCACAGATGTTCAATGATCTTCAGGTCTGGGGACTGGGAGTGGTGTTTTGGATCATTGTCTTGCTGAAATATCCATCCCCAGCTTAACTTCAACTTCATAACCGATTTTTGAACATTATTCTCAAGAATCTGCTGATTTTGAGTGGAATTCATTTAATCCTCAACTTTAACAAGATTCCCAGTGCCAGCATTGGCAATGCAGGCCCAAAAGATGACGCAACCTCCACCAAATTGTACGGAGGGTAGCAAGTTGTTTTTTTTGGAACGCTGTGGGTTTTTTTGCTGCCTTGCATACACCATTTTTTTTTTTTATAAGCAAACAACTCAATCTTTGATTGATCAGTCCAAAGGACCTTATTCCAAAATTAAGCTGGCTTGTCTATATGTGCTCCAGCAATTGCGTTTTTGGCGTTCTTGATGTACAGGGACACCATCTGCAGCAAGATGATGCTGCAGGTCTTTGGAGGTGGTCTGTAGGTTGTCCTGGACCATTCTCACCATTCTGCTTCTCTGATATTTTTCTTGGCCTGCTAATTCTGGGGTTAACAACCACTTTCCCTGTGGTCTTCCATTAGCCTGGTGAGACCATCCTGATCTCGCGAGCTTTCAAGGTTTCACTCGCAGATCAGTCTGGAGACTCTCCGTTAAAGAAAATTTGGAGCCGTTCACCAAACGAACGTCCAATCAGTGTTGGCTTTGAGGCGGGTTGAGGTGTGACGCAACGAGAAGCGCGACAGTTCAGTCTAAAGAACATGGCGGCTTCAGCCGATGAAACTAGCGTTAGCGTGGCTATCGAGCAAGTTTTATGGGAATTACAGAGTATTTCTTCACTGAAAGAAGAGCAAAACACTGCTCTGGAGGCTTTTCTCAGAGGAAAAGATGTTTTTGCTCTTCTGGTTTCAGCAAGAGTAGCCTGGCTTGTGGTTGTGTTTTCATCGTCGCTCTGTTAGCACGTCATATGCTTCGTTGATCTGATTGGTTTATTTGGCCCGTCTATCACCAACATAGGCCAATCAGCTAACCAGTATTTTCGCCCCGTCAGGTTAGCCCCCTGATACATTCGGTCTAGAACCGTCCCTGTGGTCTTCCATTTCCTCACACTGAAAACTGACAGTTTAAATCCCTGAGACAACTTCTTGTACCCTTCCCCTGAACGACTATGATGAACAATCTTTGTTTTCAGATCATCTGAGAGTTGTTTTGAGGTGCCCATGATGATTCTTCAGAGGAGATTCAACCAGGAGAACAACTTGCAACTGGTCACCTTAAATACATTTTCTCATGATTGGATACAGCTGGATATGAAGTTCAAATCTTAATGAAGTTACCAAACCAATTTTGTGTTTCAGTAAATCAGTGAAAAGTATTTTAGGGCATTAAAATCAATAAAATGATTAGTGTGCCCACATTTTTACACCTGTCAAGTTTTGTTTAATGCATATTGAACATTTTTCTGTAAGTCCAATAAACCTAAATTCAATAATGAAATATTACTGAGTCCATCAGTTATTAGATATATCAAACTGAAATAGCTGTTGCAAACACCCAAAGATTTAGAAATAAAAATGAGATTAATAGGGATGCACAAACTCTGTCATAGGACTATAAGTACAAAAAAAAAGGTTTATATAACCAATGGTTGGTTCCCTCAAGAAAGAAGGTTTATAACAGAGGTAGAAGAAAAGGCAGAAGTGGCGATGAAACAGGGCAGAAAAATAGCAAATGAATAAAAGAATGTTTTATTGAATAAAAAGAATAGATTATTTTAGCAGGCGAGATGTTTGGGTCACCGGTCGGACATTAAAAAGCCTTTTTGACAGCCGGCAGAATCTTCCACCATGAACCCCACTATGAAGGACTAGACGGATTTTAAACCCCATTTACCGCAAATTCAGAATAGGAGCCGGCAATAGAGTTCAAGGTGACATCTTGTGTATCCTGAGACCTTGGTGTTCCACATGGAGTGTTTCTGATATTGGAGATGTTTTCCTTGTTCCTCTCTAGCGCACGCGGCGTCTTTCCATGTCCTGGTGTTCGCAGGCCAAGACTCTACAACCAGACCAGGCAGGGATTATTTTCTTACTCATTTGGTTTTGCTTTTAAATGCAGCGTAAAGATAACAGAAAACTCAAAGCTGTAGTATTTTCAGTAAATATACAGAAACTTTCTCCTCATTCTGCAGTTTCAGGCTAAGATCAGGTCCTACCTTGCTGGCAGATGGAGGTGGTTTCAGTGTAAACGTCTGGCCTGCATTAAGAAAGCTGTTTGGAGTGGAGACAGTCGAGGGCCCGTTGATCTAAACCAAGAGAGGAATACATGTTTGTTTCTATTCGCTGCCATTAAATCAGACCAGCGTCATATTTCTGAAAATATTTCACCTTTCTGATCTTTCCAGGTGTGGGAGTGCCTCCAATCCGCCGCTTCGATGGCGTTCTCGTCATTGTTCCATACAGCATTTCCTCTTCGGTTTGCTTAGTTTTCTTCAGTTGCTATCAGTGGACATCAAGTTAAATCACTTAGTAAAAATATGAACCAAATATTTTTTTTAGCTTCAAATATAAAGCAATAAAAAAGGTGAAAAAGAAGCCATACCCTTTCCAGTTTCTCCCTGTCTTTCTCTTCGTTGTGCTCCTGCCACTGCTGCTGCACAAATGTGAGAAATTTCTGTCCGTTCACCAGGAAGTCTCTGCCGTGCTCCTGCTCCCAGCCATCGATCTGGGTTTTCAAAATCTTCTCTAACTGAAATGAGACATTAAAACCTGCTAAGCTAGGTCAGTATAGCAGGAAAATTCACCCACAATTCAATGTTGTTGCCCAGATGTGTCCTTTCGTTGCATTTTTAAATGTCAGACTAAGTGACCCTGTTTACATTCATCTATTTCTTTAACATATCCTGTCCCGCAGTGTGGTACTAGGTAAGGTCTTTCCTGGGAATTCCCCAGCAGCAACAGTCCAGGGGCCCCCAGAGGGGAAGCAGTTAGGAGTCTGATGGCTGTACTGACAGCCAGCTATGCAAGAGCAGATCCAGCAATGGGTTTTATGCTCAATGTTGAAGCGTCGCTTTATTCCACACCACAACGCAAAAGGGGAAAATCACAAACTACTTGTGGGTCTAAATACGGCCTAGGCAGTGAGGAAGTGGGGGGGAGGGTAAGTCGTTTTCCACAATGGCGGTCAGACAAACAAAACAAGCCGGAAAGGTAGCAAACAGGAAATACGCATAGAGTAGAGCGGATGTAGATTTGACCAATCAGAGGCCTCCTGTCTGCGGTCACCTACAATTTGGGAGAGGTGCAGCAGAGTGTCTGTGGAAGGGGCGGTGGGGATGCATTCAAAACCGGAGACGACCTGGTTCGGAAGTATAAATCAGCCTTTAGTGTCATTACAGAGTCCGTTTCATCTAGGGATGCACGATATTGGGATTTTGGCCGATATCCGATATGCCGATATTTTAAAACTCATGTAGCCGATAACCGATATCGATACCGATGTTAAAGCTGGACAAAAATAAGTAGTCATTGAAAATAGCAGTTTTGTTATTCATTTCTGACACTTTGAAAAATAATATACTCAAATATATTTTCATATGCTGATATCAAATAGGTTTTTAAAAACGTGGTATCGATCTATTTTACTTTCAAAATCTGGTGAAATTTCATCGTTCTGTTAAAAACTCTCGTGATATTTTGCAAATTCTTGTGAGATTTTGTTAGTAAAATAGATCGATGCCGCGTCAATATATCAACATATAAAAATATGGCAACATTTCGTAAATTTTCGGGGGATTTCGTAGCATAACGATGACATATAGCAATATTTCCTTAGTAAAAGAGATTGATATGGTGTTTTTAAATGGCAATATATCAGCATATGAAGATATTGGGATATTTTAATGGATCAATATTTTTTCCCTCGTCTTTAGAAGTTTTTAAGTCTGTAAAAAAGAAGTTTTTGAGGAAGAAGAAGAAGTAGTATTTTATTTTTTTTAGACTTTAGAAACTCAGAAGCTGATCAAATATCGGGTTAAATATCGGTGGGGTGGCCGATGTCCGATATTCAGTTTTAAGGCCAATACCTATCGATTATATCGTGCATCCCTAGTTTTATCTTCAAATCCCTCAATGAAAAATGGTTTCCAAAAAAAAAAAAAAAAAAAAGGAATTTTACAGAATAAAATAAATAAATAAGCAAAAGGATTAACTTTTCTTTTTTTTTTACCTTAGGTAAACTCTTCTGGAGCTGAATTCTCTGCTTTTCTTCCTTTAGTAGGTTTCCACCTCTGTTAGCAAACCTTGAAGGATCGTTGGTCTTCCTCTGGAAATGAGGAAACTGTTAGGTGTATTCAATGATTATAAAATGAATGTGTGTTTATGAAACATTTGTGCGAGGGGATGCTCCACTCCTGTCTCATGATTCAGTCAGGAGACCATCCTGCCTTGTCATTCTGATGGAGCATTCTGTCTTCATGAACTGATCAGTTGTTCTGTCAGAACAATATTCTGTTTGTAACCATGCGTCATGTTCTGTTAATAAACACTCTGCAGAGGAGGTCCAGTGGGAGACAGTGCGTTTGAGTCTGGGGTTCAACTGTCTCTCCTTTCTGCAGGAATCGTATCCATTACTGTGTATTTCAGTTCTTCTTTTGCAAACCGACATTTATGAACCCAACAGAAACAAATTAAGACACATTTACATAAATATATAAAGTTAGGATGAAACAGATAGATCAACAAAATTTATTTCTGTATACACTTGTGTGTACAAAATGACAAAATAAAATCTGTCCAAGTTGAAAAATAAAGTTATTATGAAAGTGTAATGGTTTTATTAGATTTAAATTAGTCCCATCTGATTAACTGAGGGCCTTTCAGTGTTGTTGTTTGGCTGACATCCAGAAGAGGGCGCCACTGTCTATCCTTAAGCAGTGCCCGACCAACATAGCTGCAGGGGAAACAATCATTCTGGAGGTTTTTCCACAACAGGAAGTGTTTCAAACGGAGCCCAACACAGGATTATATACAGGCTTTAAGCTAGGAATATTTCTATGGAAGCAAATCGTTACCATGTTTCAAATAAAAACACATTTCCAGAAATGCGTTTTCATTTTAAGAATGTGGCAGCATTACTTGACTCATAAATGAAATTAGTCAATAATCCTATTTGCATTTGAATTTTCTTATTTAACATTGCACTTTTATGCCATAATTAAAGAGAAAACACAGCTATAATCAGCGCCCCCTACCGAACAAGATGGGTAGCCTGGTCAGCAAGGACCTGAGGAAGAGCGGCTGCTGATGTCACTCTGCTGCGCCCGCCGCTCAGAATGCTTTTTCATTTTTAAATTTTACATTTCAAATTGAATTTTGGTATAAATTTGCTAGGGAACATTCTGAAAAATAAATCTCAAATGTCTTTTACTTTTTAATTTTAATTAAGTAAAAGAATGAGCGGTGTTAAAGAAGAAAATGAAAATGCAAACAGGATTATTGATTACTAATTTCATTTATGAGTCAAATAATGCAGCCACATTCTTAAAATGAAAAAGCATTTCTGGAAATGCTTTTTCATTTGAAATATGGTAACAATTTGCTTTATTAGATTTTATCTTGTTTTCTCACATCTTTAGGAGGGTCTGGGGTGGAGGGGGGGATCCTCCCCAAGAAAATGTTTAAATTCCGACTCTGAAACACCATTCTCTGCATTTTGAGGTGGAATGCAGCTAACTTTTTGTCTTTATTCCAACACTACTTTTGTCCTGATTATAGGAATAGAAGTGGAAATTTCCTAAGGAAGACGATATTCATCCAGAGCATGGGAGCGGAGCCGGCAGTGGAGCGGGGCGGAAAAAAGATGGCGGAGCGCAGAGCGGTTTTCAATTGAAAGGCGGGAGCAAGGATTTCGCTCTGCTCCAGTTCACTCCGATGCGCCCGCAACGTCCAGTAAAAATGTTGGATTATAAAATTTGTAAAATAACATTTATCTGATTTAAGTCTAGTAAAATAAATTAATAATAAATCTCTTCCAGTCAGACTCATGAAATTGCTGCTGAATTGCTGCGTAGACCGACTAAAATAGACCTGGGCTCTATCTCAGTCAGAGCTACACATATTCTAGTCCGTTCATCTTTGTTTTGTTAGATCTTATAAATATGTCCATGTTCAACATTGTTTACGATAACAACAACGTTTGGTTTATTTAATCAGGACTTAATACAGCCTACACAGCAAAATGTTAAGGTATAATGTTCTTTTTAAAAATTAATTATATAGTAAAGATTTATGCCTTAAAATGCATTTGATACAAGAAAAAAAACTCAAGTTTAAAGGAAAAGGGTCAATCATCAATTGTTAGTGGATGGATAAGATCAAACCCCATTGATAGGTGGAACCACCATTATTAGAGCTTCATAGTTTATAATAGAGTCCAAGTGAGTTAAAGATAAAACTTACATCTAGTTCCAAGTACAGGTCCCAGTTTTCCTGCCACTTTGTCACCCCCATAAAGAGCTCCTTGTGGTCCTCATAGTACTTCTGCAGGTACCGGACCTCAGCCTCATGCACGTTCAGAAGCTCCTCAGTAAAAACATCTGGAAACAAAGAGTTGGGAACTTTTTCTGATCTTGGCTGCCTGAGATCAAACTCATCTAAAGCTGATGCTGGTGAAGATTCTCAGTCATCCAGGTCAGAGTCATTCCAAAAAAGTTAAAAAACAAATCTACTGGAGTTTGTTTCCAAGTTTGAAGAAGTTTCTCTTCTCATCCAGGAAGATTTTTTAATTCAAAATGTCAGAAATAGCGTTTAGTTCCAGGTTTTATAGCAGGGGTAACAATTAAAATCAGCGGAGGCCGAATAAAGAAAATCAACCAGTAAAGGTCCGAAGACTTTATAATTATAATTTGTTACTTTAAACAGAATTTAACACTGAAATAACATGAGGCGTTTATGCATCCATGTTATACATTGAATGTTTAAATAAATAAAAAAAGAATTCAGTTTGGTTTATAGATAATTTCCTGATTCCCATATTTTCTGAAACACCTGAACTGATCGTTTGTTCTTTGTTTTCTTTTTTCTGTCTTAATGTTGGCAGTGGGCTTTAGGCTGCCCTGCAAGGCTTTAAACCTGGGTTTAACCGGAGACTAAGCCATTCTCAAGCACATATCAAGGAGCTCATTTTGAGCCTGGATCCAGATTTATTGTTGATTCTGTTCATGGTGGAGAATCCTGCTTCACAGCAGCAGGTTGAGCCAAACATCCTCTAAATGTGCAGGGTCATCTTTGAGCACGCCATTTCACTTTTCTTTCACCAGTTCACCGCAGTTCTTCCAGCAGTCCACACTTTCTCTGCTCTCTTTTTCTCATGGTCTTCTCCTTCTTTCCCATCGCCCGGCTTGCCACAGGTTTGCCTGCTGTGTCTAAAAGTAGCAGCAGCAGCAACCCAGACTGACAGCTCATTGGCTCATTTGGATCACGTGCAGCCTGGAGCCGGACGCTCCCCAGGGCTTTACCGTATTAACAGGAGAAGAGGAGCAAGTGAAATTAGACACTGTCGTTGGACAACATGTGGTAATTTATAAATGTTTTAAATAAGGTTGGGTCCAGATCCGGACCGCAGTCCACTAATCCGTTACCCCTGCTTTATCCAGCAGCCCAACAAAGCCTTGTGTTTGTTCAGAAAACCTGTAAATTGAAACGGATGAACGGGTCCATCCCTTTGGAATGGGGGTTCTTTTGTTAGCCTGCAATGCCCCATACTCGTCTATGTCTCTGAAAGAGCAGATCATTAAGTGAATTGTTGGGCTGTCTGAATGGGTGAGGTCTTTTGTTCCCCTGAACCTTACAGACTTAACAAAAGAAGCCAAACGACCACTATTCCAAAGGGGTGGACCCGTTCATTTGTTTCAATTTGCATGTTTTCTAAAGGCTTTGTTGGGCTGCTGGATAAAACCTGGAACTAAACGCTATTTCTGACATTTTGAATTAAAGAAGCTTCCTGGATGGAAGAGAAACGTCTTCAAACTTGGAAACAAAGTCCAGTGGATTGATTTTTAAACTTGTTTGAAAATCTAAATCAAGCAGATCTATTCACCATCATGATATGCAGTGAAGGCGTGCTGCTGTTCGTCACTGTAGAAGCATTTCTTCCACAAAACAGCAATCTCTCCCCTGATGGCCTCGATCACACTCTTCATGCTCTTTATTTTCAGCAGCTCCAGGCGCTCCAGTTCTGCTTGGAGCTGCAAATAGAACTGATGTTACCACCACTTGGTTCTGCTCCGGTTAACGGAGGCGTTTACTGACAGACCAGGAAGCTTTCTTACTGCCTCCATGTTTTTCTTTTTGGAGTTGACCATGTGCTCAGAGAAAGCTTCCCGTTCTTCCTGAGGAACTTGAAGCCTTTCCCACAACTCCTGGATCTTAGAGCGGAAACCTGAACAGAGGAGCTCCTTCTGTGCCTTGCGTTCTTGCAACTGGGGGGGGAAATATATAACAAAAATGTACATTTCTAAAAATGTTAACCCTTAGTCAAACAATTAACACAAGTTAAAATGGCCCAGTCTATTCATGTCTTTAAGTAATTGTTGAAAACACCATTTTGAGCTGGCCTTCAACACAAGCTCAGTTTATTACTATGATTTTAATTTTTAAGTTTGTTTGACTTGTGTAATGATATTTTTATCCATTATTTGCACTTGATAATGTTTGTTATACAGCACTTTGGACAGATTTAGCTGTTTTTAAATGTGCTATAGAAATAAAGTTGACATTCACATAAAATTAAAAACATTTTGAGCGAGCTGACCTGACTGAGAAGAAGCTTCAGGGCTGTGATGTTGTCCTTCGACAGACAAAACGCCTCCTCATCTCCACACATCACATCCATCTCAAAACTAATCTCAGGATTCTGCTCCAGGTCGTTCATGCAAGCAACGATCTCCTTTTTGGTGTTGGTGAATTCATCGTGACGACGCTCCTGGAAAAGAACGACATTTTAAAGATGGAAAGTAAGATGGATGAATGAGAAAAGGCTCTGAAGCTACCTTCTCTTTGGTGCGCTCATCAAGGAAGCTACTGTAGGCCTGAAGCTGCTGCACTGATGGGACCGAGTTCTGGTCAATAGTGAAGGGGGTGGTACACATGATGTCACACAGCTCCCGGTCTTTGGCAACCAGGACTTTAAGCTCATCCAGTCGCTGTTTCTTTTTCTCTTTCAAAATCTTTACTCGAGTGCAGCAATCCTTCTCCATCTGCAGGATGGTACAGCCTTCCTCCTCCTGCAAATAAACGCTTCAATGAAACAGAAAACTACTGAACACCAGACAGCAAACCAGACTCACTCCCATGTGATTAGAAAAAAAAAAAAAAAAAAAGGGGGCAAGTATTTCCCTTAAAAATGTATGCCTAAAGACTATGGAAGAAAAACCGTCTCAATGGAATTTGCCTTTTTTTTTAAACACCGAATTTTAAACACTGAATTTTTTTAACACCGAATTTTAAACACTGAATTTTTTTAACACCGAATTTTAAACACTGAATTGTTTTAACACCGAATTTTAAACACTGAATTTTTTTAACACCAAATTTTAAACACTGAATTTTTTAACACCAAATTTTAAACACTGAATTTTTAAACACCAAATTTTAAACACTGAATTTTTTAACACCAAACTTTAAACACTGAATTTTTTAACACCAAATTTTAAACTGAATTTTTTAACACCAAATTTTAAACACTGAATTTTTTAACACCAAATTTTAAACGCTGAATTTTTAAACACCAAATTTTAAACACTGAATTTTTTAACACCCAATTTTAAACACTGAATTTTTTAACACCAAATTTTAAACACTGAACTTTTTAAACACCAAATTTTAAACACTGAACTTTTTAAACACCAAATTTTAAACACTGAACTTTTTAAACACCAAATTTTAAACACTGAACTTTTTAAACACCAAATTTTAAACACTGAACTTTTTTAATCACCGAATTTTAAACACTGGATTTTTTTCACACCGAATTTTAAACACTAAATTGTTTTTAACACCAAATTTTAAACACTGAATTTTTTTCACACCGAATTTTAAACACGGAATTTTTTAACACCAAATTTTAAACACTGAACTTTTTAAACACCAAATTTTAAACACTGAATTTTTTTAACACCGAATTTTAAACACTGAATTTTTTTAACACCAAATTTTAAACACTGAATTTTTTAACACCAAATTTTAAACACTGAATTTTTTTAACACCAAATTTTGAACACTGAATTTTTTTAGACATTGAATTCCTTAAACTCAATTTTTATCTGGTAAAAATTCAACAGAAAAAAATTCAGCTGCAAAAAAAAGTTTAGATCCTTTGGGGATTCTCTGCCCTCTGAATCTGCTGGCAGTTCATTTGCCATCTCTGAGAAAGACTTCCTTTTTGCCATTTGATACACAACATTCACTCGATCAGAATGAGTCTTTTTTGTGGAACAGAGCGCAGGATCACTACGCCACTTTGCTCAGACTCTCACCTGCACTGTCATCGGTAGGGATGCTTCTATCTTTCTCCTCCTCAAACACACGCTGTCCCACGCCCCCCAAGCTGGAGACAAATGCATTCCTGGACCTGTTCCCGACTCCTCCTCAGTTTAATTTCAATATTTACTCATAAAATCTTTCAATCCTATGGTGTCATCTTCCTTTTTTCTGTTCGGTGGTCTTCTGAAAACCTGACATTCTTAGTTTGCAGCAAAACTAACTTTAAAAGTTGCAGTCTGTCGTTGTCCTGGTCAAACCATTTTATGCTGGGTAGGGGGAACCTCTAATGGCCGCTTTTTTAAAGAAAACATTTTACATATACCTAATGCAGATACAGTATGTTTATATATTTAGTTATTCTAATATTAAATATTTTTATTAAAAATATCATCTGAAAAATTACTTTTGCATGTATTTTTAATGGTCAGAGTATGAATTTTGTTTTAAGCATTTCTGCTTAAATCTTTGTGCCTTCTAACTGTTTTATAACAGGGCATCTCTGCTACAATTTAAAGCCCGTTTCATTTTCTTATTAAATAGGATTTTACCTTAAAAGGTGGAAGCTGCAGTTCACTGCACAAAAGACTGAGCTCCTTTTGACACGATTCAATGTTTTTTAGTAATCGCTGCTTTAGTTCTTGCTCTTCAGCAATCATCAGATCCAGCAAACCCTGCAGGGCGAGAGAAGAAGAACAGCTGTCACTGCATCATGATAAAAAATATTCCTTGACCTACAGTAAGAGTTTGACCAAGTATTTTAATTCCTAAGCTTAAAGTTTTAGGATTAGATGCAAGTACTGAGCAGATTAGATGATTCCCATACAGTTTATTTTGTATTTTAATAATTGGTATATGGTCTTAGAATCACTTAAAAGTAGTGTTGCACCGACACCAATACCAGTATTGGGCGGGGTCCCGATCCAGCACTGAAATCGTGGCAACGGTATCGGCGAGTATAAACCAATAGGGCACCGATACCATTTTGAGATCCAAAAAAGTATTCAACTATTGTCACCCATTCCAGTTAGGCAATAAAAAGTTCTACTGGATTCACTTTGTTTTAGTCTTTTTCCTGCTTCAGAAAGGGAGGCAGCAGCTTGACATGAAGCCATCATGGTGATTATTTTACATCCAAGTAGAATGCAGTTCTTCATATATACACACACAGCAATTTCAAACAGATGGTATCGGCCGATACTGCACAGCCAAGTAGGGATGCAGGATATTGGGATTTTGGCCGATATCCGATATGCCGATATTTTAAAACTCATGTAGCCGATAACCGATATCGATACCGATGTTAAAGCTGGACAAAAATAAGTAGTCATTGAAAATAGCAGTTTTGTTATCCATTTCTGACACTTTGAAAAATAATATACTCAAATATATTTTCATATAATGATATCAAATTGATTTTTAAAAACGCGGTATCGATCTATTTTACTTTCAAAATCTCGTGAAATTTCATCGTTCTGTTACAAACTCTCGTGATATTTTGCAAATTCTTGTGAGATTTTGTTAGTAAAGTAGATCGATACCGCGTCAATATATCAACATAAACAAAAAACAAAAGAGAAAAATCATAAAATAATCAATCACTGACATAAACTAAAGTGCCAATGATTCCACAAACTGGAGAAGAATCTCACTGAGCTTTGAACAGATTTGGTTATAAAATAACTGCATTTAGTGTGCCTCCCATTATGTAAAAACTACTGTAACGTTACACAGGGAGCATTTTGGTATTTTTATCTTTCTATATTTTTTTCATTTAGCATCACAGTGATAAAATAACATTAATAATGTCTAAAAAATGAAAATGGCAGAATTGTTTTCTCTAGCTTTAAATTGCTTCCAAAGATTATTGATGAATTAATGAATAAATAAAATTACTGTGCAGTCTACGGATAGATTAAAACAGAAATAAAAGTCCCTTCTTCATGCATCTAGTGTCCTGATGAAGTCCAATTTTAATAGTAAACCTAGAAGAAGACTGCAAGGAAATAAGTATTTTGGTGTCATTACTTTTATCACCAACACAATAGCAATAAAATATATTGTAATAAGATTGCATATTGTCGACCACCAATACTGAAGTAGGAAAACCAGGTTCTGAATGGAATAGAAATCAAAACACTCGCGTAATTTTACCGTCTAAAAGCTCTTCAACATTTCAATAACTGTGCTTCTAAAAAGCCCCAGTCTTTTAATGAAGAAAGGTGATTGTACAAATGTTTTAATAACTTTAATTTGATACAAAAATAAGCTTAATTTTATGTTTTTAATTGAGAAAGTACACCTCAATACTTCATGTGTGTATTGAGTTTATGGAGGATCAGCCTGTGCTGCTGGCTGCTGACGGCTCAGCCAACATGTGAGGGAAGATCTCCAGCTCTAAATGTCATATTCAGAATTTAAACTTCTGAAAGTTCTTTAAATATGAAATGATTCCATCCTGTTCAATAAATAAGTGTTTTTAATTCAGAGTAATTTTCCTGTGAATGTGCTTTACTGGAGGCATCCATGTTTGTCAAAGAACACTACTGCCACCTACTGGTTAGTGACGTCACGGTGCGGTATCGGCTGTTGATCAAGTCCCAGTGCTGTATCTGGTGTTTGTCACAACGCGCTATTATCCAAGTCATCTTGAAAACATTCTTCTTCCAAATGTTGGCTACATATTACGGGTTTTTTCTCTGGCCAGAAGTTCGATGGCAAATCCTCCCTCTTCAAGTTGGCGATCCAACGACCAACCCGTCCGTGGAGGACCAGGAATCAGAAAGGTGGAATAACTCTTTTTTTCACTTTTACCCGATGTATTCCAGCATCCAGCTGCCAAGCACGTGGGCATTGTCAGTTTCACTATAGCTCTGGTGAATTTCAATGGTGAAGTCCTCTGGAAATCTTCAATAATTGTTGTTGATTGCAGATGTGTCTAGTAGTTCCCATTGATTTAGCTTGTAAAGCGGGGAGAATGGCGCTAGGCTTACCGCACCGTGACGTCACTGCTGGAAGATGGCAGGAGGGAGGGGCTACTATATTTGGGCAAAAATGGCCGCTCCCAGACTCTGTGATAGCAATAGGGCTGCAACAACGAATCGATAAAATCGATAAAAATCGACTTTTAAAAGCGTTGGCAACGAATTTAATAATCGATTAGTTGTGTCGCGCGATTAATGCGTCATCCGCTGCCGCCGTCATCCGGGGGAAGAAAAAAAAAATATGGCGGAGCGAGTCAGCGCCGCAGTTGCAATGTTGCCAACTCAGCGACTTTTCAGACCCCTCCAGCGACTATTTTTCAAAAAAGCGACTAGCGACAAATCTGGCGACTTTTTACGGTGTCACTGGCGGCTTTTGCCTGCCGTCGGGCGCCTCCCCCATCCCAACCCCTTTCTCCCTCTCCCACAGGAATCCCTCTCAGAGCCGCAGGATATTAGTGAGGAGTTTACCCTCAGCGTCCAGACTGCAAATGAAGCGCGCATGCGCCGGGATGGATCGCAATAATTAAAATAGCCTGCGCTTTGTAAAGTTAAAAAAGTCGTAACATGCAACTTTTGTAAAAAGAAATGAACATGGCACGGAGCACCACTGTTATGACGCAGCACCTGAAAAGAAAACACGTTGGAGCCTTCAATGGCAGTGAAGAGAGCTGATCAGCAGGATGAGCGGCCATGTTTGTTTGGTTTTAAAGTGGGGAAACGTAACGTTAGTTTCTCAGGTAGCTCATCTGATGCTTTCCTTACCTTGTTAGTAGGTTACAGACAGGGATAAGGTTGGCTACTTATTTTACTTTTAATTTCATTTGAATTAGCTTACGCAGCGTTTATATTTTCTTTATAAATAAATTACCTTTCAAATTATGAGGGCAAGGCTTTTAAAGTTTAAATCTTCTGGCAAAGATAAAGTAAAGAAGATCCTGCAATTTATGGAAGTAAAACAGAATAAAATCCAGCAAGATCAGTAATATGTCAATTAATTATCTGCCACATTCCCATGTAAATATCTGTCTTTGGAGGATGTGTTTTTTAGCACCCCTAGTTCTCTCATTTTTATTCCAAATGCAATTTATAATTTGAATCACAGGCTATTTTTATCTCTATGGTTCAGTATTTTCTCAAGCAGCAACTTTAACTGCTATACTTTCCTGTCTTAAAAGGCAGAAATCTTCTAGTCTAAAAAAACTCATTTGTTGAAATGGGGGGGCCTATTGTTTGAGCCCCTTAGGGGCTTTAAAAAACAAAAATGTCTTTTTTTGCGCTTTATGAAACAAAGTAGCCTATATTTTGTGGATGTACAGCTACATTTCTCATGTAAGTTTGCGTAGTTTTAGCACAAACATTTATTTTTCATATTGCACCAGTACAGTTAATGAGCAACCTGTACTTGTGTGCTTGTTTGTTCTGTCTAAAATGTTTATTTTGGAATAAAGAGGTTCATATAAAAATTTTTTTTTGTCCGATTCATCGATTAATCGAAAAAATAATCGGCCGATTCATCGATTTTTAAAATAATCGTTAGTTGCAGCCCTAGATAGCAATCAAATTTTTGTTTTTATTTTTTTTTGCTGATTAACACTAAATTTATTAAACCAATGCAAAATAGGGATGCACGATATAATGGGCCCCCTATCGGTATCGGCCTTAAAACTGAATATCGGACATCGGCCACCCCACCGATATTTAACCTGATATTTGATCAGCTTCTGAGTTTCTAAAGTTTAAAAAAAAAAAAATACTACTTCTTCTTCTTTCTCAAAAACTTCTTTTTTACAGACTTAAAAACTTCTAAAGACGAGGGAAAAAATATTGATCCATTAAAATATACCAATATCTTCATATGCTGATATATTGCCATTTAAAAACACCATATCAATCTCTTTTACTAAGGAAATATTGCTATATGTCATCATTATGCTACGAAATCCCCCGAAAATTCACCAAATGTTGCCATATTTTATATGTTGATATATTGACGCGGTATCGATCTATTTTACTAACAAAATCTCACAAGAATTTGCAAAATATCACGAGATTTTGTAACAGAACGATGAAATTTCACCAGATTTTGAAAGTAAAATAGAACGATACCGCGTTTTTAAAAATCAATTTAATATCAGCATATGAAAATATATTTGAGTATATTATTTTTCAAAGTGTCAGAAATGGATAACAAAACTGCTATTTTCAATGACTACTTATTTTTGTCCAGCTTTAACATCGGTATCGATATCGGTTATCGGCTACATGAGTTTTAAAATATCGGCATATCGGATATCGGCCAAAATCCCAATATCCTGCATCCCTAATGCAAACGTATTAGTTTTAGGCATAAATAATGATCCATAATCAATGGAACATTTCTGTTACTGATATAGAAACCTGTATGCAAATAGATCATGAAGTCATTGTATTGAAGGCCTTGCATAATTTAAAATAAGGAAGCTGAAGTTTTGGAGAAAGGGTAAACTTAAAATGTCCCTTTTTCCCACTACTTTTTAAATATGTAAAATACAACAGTACTGTTGTAGTCAGTACTAGAGTTGAGGGGGGGATGAGGGGGCGATGGCATACCATCCCTGTGACATTTTACTACTGAATGTGTAAAATTTCTACTATATTTTCAAATCACAGAAGTGTCCTATCATGACTATGAAGCAGAGGGGGGTTTACCATCAGGCAATACTAGGCAGGTGCCTAGGGCCCCAAGTTCCTGGGCCCCCCCCCATTAAACTCTGTTTAGATGTATGGTTAATACAACTATTCCTTATATGTTCACATTAATTATGTTTTTGATAAAAATCCTTTGGCTAAAATGCCATCAGAACGCTGATAATATTAAGTGTGTTTAGTGCTACTTGGTCCCAATGGAATTTCCCATTGGGAACCTGCTAGCACTAAGTTGCTAACTGGTTAGCAAGATGCTTCCAGATAAACCGGCCACAACCAAACATGTTTGCAAACCTTCCACCATAACAATCCCGCCCCCTTGATAATCGACCAATCACATTCACTTTATTCACTCGTGTAAAATCATGCACCACTTGGGAGAATTCGGAAATGCAACCGCTGGAACAGCAGTTTTCCTACAACTTTAAGCTAATTTTTTATGGCCTTTTGGTATTTATAAAAAATAAAAACCATCAAAATAATTAGTTTTATCCAGAGAATTAATTTCTTTGTGGTTGGACTCGGTGCTGTTGTGCTCGGTGGGCCCCCTGCCTGCCTCTGCCTAGGGCCCCAAATTTCCTAAATCCGCCCCTGCTATGAAGCTGATCGCAGTGGGAAATGAGACCCTAACAGTGATAGCCATGCTAACTATGTAGGGGCAGTGACATGGAGCAACCAGACCATGCATAGAGCTTTAGGTTAATAGATTATATTAATTAGGCTATGCATGATTCAAAAAATTTAAAAAATAAAATCTACCCCCCCCCCCCCTTTTTTTTTTTCTTCCCCCAACTAGCCTACTGTTAAGGAATCTATGTTATTTTCTCTTTCTTACATGCTTGAAATAAATTTCCCTGAAAGAAAAAAAAGCAGCAATAAGAAAAGTCTGCCTTTATATTTACTTTAACATGTTTATGAGCCTCGTTGGTTCTCCGCAGCCGCTGCTCTTCAGGGATCCCGATTTCATCCCAGATCTCCTGCAGCTTCATCAGGGCCCCGTTTAGGTAGCTGACAGAGTCCGCAGCGTGGACCTCACTGGACACGTCATTAAAACACAAAAAAATACTTTAAAAATGAGAACTAAACCCGCCGAGCGACTGGATACTCTGTAAAACTACTTCATTTCAAAACTCCAACCGACAATAAAACAGCTAAAATAACATATTTATCGAATATTAACATTCTTAACCGGCTAAGATGATAAAAAGTAAGAAATATTTCCTTAAAACGGATAAAAAAGACAGCTACTAACCTCACTCTCATGTCACCGCCGACGAAGATGGAAATAAAGGGAAATAATCCTTTAATAATCTGCAGCCAGTCGCTCGCTGCTTTATTTTCTTTTTTTAGTGAAAATATATCCGGTGTGTTGCAGCAGCAGCTGTTTGTTGGATATTTGTTTGTTCAGGATTTCAACTTCGCAGCGACACAGAAGCTTTGAGCTGATTGGCTGGTTTAAACTGCGTCATAATGCGCCTTTGACTCATTACTGCCACCATCAGGATCGGAGGGTGTACCGACGAGATGGCGGTCTTCTTTTTGGTATTAATGTTTATTACTCCGGTAGAAATATAAATCCTAATGATAAAAAACACATTTGAAGAAATTAGAGGATCAACTTCAGCTTTTTACTCCAGGAATAATGTAAAAGTACAGTTTTTAAAACTAATTAAAGTGTAAAAGCAAAAGTAATGCAGGAAAAAATGTAAAGACCTGATGCTTTAAACCTTATACCTTATTATTGCCCAACCCTATAATAGACATTATTTTGTAGAATTCTGGATGATAACTTCCTTATACTTAATTTTCTTAGTTTTTTTTTATTCAATGGATTTTATTTATTCAATTATTCTGTTTATTTTCCATACTTAATTCATTTTCTAATTCCCTAAATCGATCATTAGAAGTTGATTTTTTCCAGTGATGGCTTTCTTCTTCCACTTTTTTGTGGTTCAAAACTAATAAAAAAAATAAGACGTTATATAGGGCTGTAAAAATAAAGTTGACTCACTACAAACGTAAAATGTATTTCAATGTTTTGATATGTAAAAAAAAACATGTAAAATATTTTCCTTCCACTTATGCGCTACTTTGTCATTGTGACGAATTTGAAAAATATGCTAGTTATATCTTTTCTTTGTTTTGTAACTAATGGTAACAGCGTGAAATTTAACTTTGCATGTATAGTCCAGACTTAAGGTGTGGCCATGGGTTTGGCCATCACAATGTGCACAAATAAGGAATAGTTTTTTTAACAATACATGTAAGCAGAGTTTTATGCGGCCCCAAAGAACTTGTGGCCCTAGGCAACTGCCCAGTATCGCCTACTGTATGACTGAGAATCTTTACCAGCATTAATTATAAAATAGTCCTCATGATATTCTTTATAACATCCTCATTACTATCTTCAGAATGAGTCAGTTTAGGTTAAGTTTTATTTGGGTGGCGGCTCATGTTGGGATGGGGGAACGAGAGGGTAAACAGACTGGCAAAACAGGCTCTTAATAAAAGTAATGTGGAAACTAGAGTTAGATTAAGTAAATGTGATTTAAAGGTTCTGGTGTGGAGACATAAATGAGGAGTGGCAAAGAGATACTGGAAAGGAAGGGACACGCTTCTACAAAATTCAAGGGACTAGCGAGATTAGATTAGGTTTTTGGGATCAAACTCGGTCCTTGCAATCTTCTCAGAGCCAAAGCGCACTCCTCTAACCACTCGGCCAACACTCCCCTAAGTTAGCAAAGAAAACTGGTTTGAGGATTAGAGATTATGCTAGAGGTGGATTTTCTTTTATTAACATTTTCTCCTGCATGTAAACACCACTTTTTATTTAACTTACTGACTAACTGATTCACTGTAATATTTTAAATCAATAATCTGTCAGCTTTTTTAAAAACATACAAACAAACAAACTTATTTATCAAACCCTAAAAGGTGTTTTCTGCTATCTAAAGCATCTGAGGCCCTTTTACCACAATATTAGGAGTTTGGAGAGTTTGTGATCTATAAAATCATTAATCCATATTTATTTTATATCCTTTATTATTTATAATGATAAATAATTGATTTCTAGAATCCTGGAAGTCTTCAGTGACTGCTTTCCATTGTCATATTTTGGAGTCCAATTAAATCCAAAGGACAAATTTATTGATTACCTCACTTAGTTTCCTTTTTTTTTGCTTGCTCTTAAAAATTCGATCTGGATTGTAAAAAGTTTAATTAAACCATGTTTTTGTTGGGTTTTTTTTTACTCCCCAACTTTACTCCCCCCTCCCACTTTTGCATGGTTGCTGGGGGGTTAGTTCCTGACAGCCGTTAGTGGGTAAGAGGTGGAGTACTATGGAAAAAAAAAAAGTCTAATTTTAACACCGTATTTTGAAAGCTGAGGATTTTTGGCACCGAATTTTAAACACTGACTTTGTTTATACATTGAATTCCTTACACTGAATTTTTATCTGGTGAAAATTAACATGCAAAAACTTTGCCTGTAAATGTGTTGAAGAACCACACTAGCTGTGATCCGCCGAGTTATTTCATCCAGTCCGATTAGATGAAAACTCTAATGGCTGTCTATTAGTAGCTACCTTTCTGTAATCATTCTGTAATCTGTAATCATGCAATCATTCTGACGTTCTGTAATCCTGTTTATTTAACAGGAAAAACTCCCCATTTAGCTTCATTTAGTCGGAAACAAAGCTATGCTCAACTGTTGTGTCAGATGACCAAATGAGCGAATTTTATTGGCTAGAAGCTGCTTGACTGCATTGAGTTTTCGATTGCTTTGGCTTGAGTTAACAAAAAGGTCAACACACTTGCAAGCAAAATTTTTGCAGGCAAATTTTTACCAGATAAAAATTCAGTGTTTAAAATTCGGTGTACAAAAAAGGGCAGATTCCAATGAGATTATTATTATTATTAGTTTTTCTTCCATAGGGTACAACCTGGACAGGTTGCTCGGTAGTCCACCTTTGAGCAACACATACACATAACCATGCACACACTTGCACCCACTCCTAATCTTATTTCAGAGAATCTAATTCAACCAGCATGAATGTTTTTAATGTGTTGGAGGAAAAACTTGGATATAAATTTGTGCACGAGGAAGGGATCAAAACCGATGGGAACAATTCCTCTGCAATCATTCTATGATTACAGTGATGTTTACTTGAAAAAGGTCATTTCAGGAGTAAATATTTGTCTACTCTGGTTTAAATTAAATTAGCTGACCTCGTTCTGTGCAGGCCGGCTCCCTGCTTGTGTTATTCATATTTCTATTGTTCTTATTTCCCCAGGTGTTTACCGAGCCCTGTAGATGAAGGGATTAAGTTGATGCCATATCTGATATAGTCTCAGAGGTATAGAGTCGCTCCCCAAGCTCGCACAATCTGCTTGCAGCTGCAGTTTCTTCCCAGAGCTCAGTTGTTTAATGGTTGCACAGAGTCTATTGCTGAACACTCTGTTTTCAGTGATCCCATAAATTGGCTTCAGAATGCTTTAACTTTTCACAGAGGAACTTATCAATTGGTGTGTGGAACCTTGCAAACATAATCACACCCTTGGACCTTTTTCTATTTTGGCACTGAACTGTAAACACAAAGAAACCTCCTTTTTCCTGTTTTGTGCATGCACAAAAAAACCATCAAAGAAAAACCAGTTGATTGCATCGACTCGGCAATCCCTCACAGAAAAACATTAGAAAACATTAGTGAATAAAGACCAAATAACTGAGCAGACAGGACAGGTAGAAAGTGGAGAAGTTTAAACCAGCACCCCCCACACCTGAACCTCCGATAGATCACTGTTTAATCCATCTGAATAGATAGAAAAAGCACAACTGCAAACCTAAGGCTGTCCAGCTAACCCGAAAGGCAAGGATAGCATTAATCAGAGAGGTAGGACACAGCCCCACGGTAACATCAGAGGAGCTGTTTAAAGAAAAACTAAGACTTGTGACATCATCAATCCTGGCTTTGATGCAAGAGAGACAAGAAGACGGCGATTGTTGAAAGAATCCTGTAAGAAATCCTGTTTACAGCTTGCCATACACCATTTACACACAGAAAAAATAATGCAACCGCTTTTGGCATTTACTTAATCATATTTAATCACTTTAACACAATTGTTTTATGTGCTGCCCTGCTAACGTGAAAGTTAAAGTAACTAAATATGATTAAGTAAATGACAAAAACAGTTGCATTATTTTTTTCAGTGCAGGACATTGGACATCTGTTTAGGAGAAACAGCTATTGAATGTTTTGAAATGCTGTTTGGTTGCTTTTCTGGAAGGAAAACAAAGTTGGTTAAAATGAATGAAAAGACGTATAAGGTTAAACAGGATAACGATAGGGCAAAAAGACAGGAACAGAGGCTTAGTATCCAAAAATAAATGAAATAAATGAAAGCAATAGTCCAGTTACAGTCCACACCTTCATCAGATAGTACGCAAAAGAATAATAAAAAACAAAACAGTCTCCAACACTAGAACTACTACGGAGGGGTCAATTGTCCTTTTTACTTAAAAGCCCTACAAGAGGGTGATTTGACCTTTGGACCTCCTGTGGACACTCCTTTTGTTGTGGAAATGTAGCTGTTAGCAGCTCATAGCTGTCACAGAGTCGCTTGAGCCTGTGTGGGGAAGGGAACCCTAAGGCAAGCTTTTAGTATAGTTTTTAGTGGATTTTTCCGGGTCAATTGACCCCTCTCTGGTAGTTCAAGGTAGGCAGAAAAATCCTGGTAGTTCTAGTGCTAAATAGGAAAAATGTTCCCCCAAAGAAGAGCCAGATATAAATGCAGGCCAAACTTTTCAGATGTGTATTCGTCTTCCTTTTCTTCCCAGTTCTCCTTTTTGTTTTTCTAGCCCACAAACAATACATTGGGGTTAGAGGCTCTAACATGTCAAATCAATACAAAACTTTAAGTTGTACATTATGCTGGTGAAGGTTGTCAATCATCCAGGTCATAGTCATTAAAAAAGTCATTCAGGATCAAACCCCCAGACCTAATCTGAGCAGAGAAGTGTCTGCAGCTCAACCAGAATGTTCACAGTTTGGACAAAGAAGACAGGTAGTTTGAGAGGGGTGTGAAGGAAGCCATCTATGTTAAGAAAGAAAAAACAACCTTAAACGGGAGGGGGGGTCCGATTCCAGCTTTCTAAAACCTACAATGCAGCATAGAGCTGATTCCTTCCTGCTATCATCGCAGCTCCAACACCTTTTACAGGGGGTCAGAAGACCTCGCCTATTCAGCCAGGCCAACAATTCCCTCTAACGACCCCCCTTTCAGAGACAGACAGGTATGGGGCATTGCAGGCTAACAAAGAAACTGTTGGAGACGCCCTATTTAAATGATGGTTTTGCTCGTTTTGAGGTTTGCGGCAAAGTAGTTTGTAGTTTTTACAAACTAGTGCATTAAGAAAAAAATTTAAATCTTACAGTGACACCCCCACCCCCTCCAAAAAAAAAAAAAAAAAATATATATATATATATATATATATATATATATATATATATATATATATATATATATATAAACTTTGGCAACCTTTATTCCCTAAGGTGGTATGTGGCTGAATTTCTACTTCACTGCGCGTACGCATCCCCGCAGCATTGGCATGTTGCTCCACAGGCGCGGGGGGAGGTCGGGGTTCTCTGGTAGGGCGTCACGGCGACATGGCATTTAGAACGTCGGGCAGCACTTCTGAAAAACGAGATTGGGAGATCCCAGCTCTCGCTGCAACCGTATGCTGGAATGACCCAGATGCAAAAAGTGCAATGATGCAAGGAGTTTTGTGATATCTGGTATTGCGTGGGTCCTCCTTGTGGCTGGCTCCAAATCCATTCGGAGTTCCTCCAACAGCTCCAAAATGGCAATGCTGGATAAACGATATGTTTTGATGATCGTTTCCTCGTTCATTCCAAAAATATTCACACGGAGTGAAAAAATGCGTTCTCTGCATCTCCTTGCTTCATTTCCATGTCTCCTTCTTGCGACAATAACCGCTGCCATGTGTGCGCAATTACGCATACAGACCATTTGCACCTTCTTTTGAAACGTGTTAAATATAGAGTCAGATACCGTTAGCAAAATTGCTTTCAGGTTTGATAAATCACTTTGCGAGTGCTAAATTAAGACATTTACATGTTCTCCTCCCACAAGACGCACTTTTGCGTGTAAACGCCCCATATTGCATATTCATTGCAGAAAAAGTACTAAATGGATAAGAGGCGCTATTTAGCACGTTTTAAAGACCAAATGCTTTTAGCACGCTGTTGATAGATCAGTTTGTACATTTTTTAGCGTGCGCAGTGAAATAGCTCACATTTTTATACACGCAAACCTTTGATAGATCCGGCCCATAGACAGGTATGGGGCATTGCAGGCTAACAAAGAAGCCAAACGACCCCCATTCCAAAGGGGGGGACCCGTTCATCCGTTTCTATTGGTTTTGTTGTGTTACTGAATAAAACCTTGAACTCAACGCTTTTCCTGACATTTTTAATTGAAAAACAAAGTCCAGTGGATTGTTTTAAATTTTTTTCGGTACAAATGCTTTTCCAAGGCAGAGTAATATCCAAGCAGTTAGATATGTCCTTTGTTTCTTTTCTTTTCTTTTATACAACAAATAAAATAGTATTTTGCTGTCAAATTTCCAATTATATATATATATATATATTTCCCTGTTTTCTGATTAAGTTATTTTGTTATGTCATTAGTACACAACATTATTTACTTCCAGATATTTAGACATTTGTATTCTTTGTGTTTGTCTCCAGAAAACGTCTAATTCTTGTATTAAAAAACTCAATAATCAAAGTTATGAACATGGACGTTAATAGATGCCAATGCAAAAGGAATGAAAAAAATACAGCTGAATTAAAAATAAATACAAATAAAATGTCAAGAAAAACGAATTTGGGTAAAAGAATTGATTATAAAAATAATAGCAATGGTTTCCTCCTCATTGATGATAATTTTGACGAAAATAGAGGTTCTTGAGCACATCCTCGCTGAACTGGTAAGTAAGCTTCTTCTTCACCTTCTTTATCTCCCCCGTTTTGCCATAGTTCCTCAAGGCTCGGGCCATTTTCTGGTAGGTCATTTTTTTGCGATTTCCTTTTTGAATACCCCAGTGGGTCGCCAGAGCCTCCTTGTGTTTGGTGGAAAACTGGAAGATGCCTTTGTCTGGGTCCACCCACCAGATGCTCTCACTCATATCACCCTTTCGAAGCAGTTCCAGGAGGAACTGGTAAAGGCGGATTTTTTTGTTGTTGCCTGGGATGGAAAGTCACATTCAGTCAGAAAAAAAAACCCCGAAAAAAGGAACATTATTATGTTATATTTCAGAAACTAGTCACCTTGGTCTTTCCTAAAGGAGCAGTTGTAGTCTTCATAATCTTCCTCTCCTTCTGATACTTGCAGCGGGGGACTGAGGGCTCTCTGATCCTCCTCTGGATAGTAACGTCGAGGTGAGGCCAAGGGAGGGTACTGGTAGCACAGGGATGGGGTGTAATATGGGATCTTTAGGGGAAATTTAAAGCATTTAAATAAAAAAACTTTTAAAATATTTTGCAATCACTCGCTTTCTGTTATTTTTGCTTAAACATGACTATTGTTCTAAAAGGGGAAGTTGCTCTGCCAAAATAGATTCCAGTGCTCAGCAACAACACGTGGTGTGGATGACATTTCAGTGAAAATGTCCCTGGCTTTTTCACAACATGGACGCTGTTTGTTGAAGTTACTGTCAGCTTTGGGCTCCTTAATGTTTTCATGGAAATAACTTTGATTTCCTAATTTGCATCAGATTCTGATGATGTTCTGAAATTGAGTAAAGTTCACAGGACAACTATGGAACCGGAACTTTTTCAGTAATTTATTGACTCAGTATGATTTTGTTTTTCATATCTTAGCAGTAAAATCAGGGCTTAGTCACATCATGCACTGCAAAAAACTGAAAGCTAAGTGAGTAATTTTTCTTAAAATACGAGCATTTTTTTTCTTGAATAAAGCAGGTAAGTAAGACTTTGCCAATGGAATAAGGCAATTTATATCTAAAATAAGAAAAAACAACTACAGTCTGTTATTTAGAGCAGTGGTTCCCTAATGGTGTGCCGTGAGTCAAGTGCGGGTGTGCCGTGGAATTTTGTGACAACCATGTATGGTCATTACAATATAATAACAGAAAAATAAAAAGCCTATACGGTCATATCACTACTTTCTTTGCATTCATTTTCACAAAACAGAGGCAAACTACATTACAATAATCTAACAAAAAAAAAAAAAAAACTCAAGGAGAACTCCCTGACCACGGAGATGCGCAGATAGGAATTATCATCCTGTGGCACGATGGACATGTTCCCGCTGCCATCAGCTGCGCCGCAGGCAGCAAAGGAGCGCGCATTATATGCCGAACACCTTCAGAGCTTAAAAGAGAGGTTTGAGCGCTACTTTCCACATGTTGCTGACGTTGAGGATTACGACTGGATCCGAGACCCATTCAACCAGGAGTCTTCAACAGAAAAACGGACAATGAAAGAAAGAGAGGAGTGGGCACATTAAAACTCAAATTTAGTGAGCTCCCACTGGATCAGTTTTGGTTGGCTTCTGCATCAGAATACCCAAACATCTCACGCCACGCAATTGAGCACCTTCTTTTTTTCCCCACTACTTACCTGTGTGAGCTGGTGTTCTCTACTCTGGTTTACATGAAGAACAACAGGAGGTCACGGCGCTCTGTTGAACAGGACTTGCGTGTGGCCCTCTCCTCAGTGCCACCAAGGATTAAAAAAAACTGTGCACACCGACAGGCACACGTGTCTCACTAGTTTTCTTTGCTTCGTTTTTAATTTTGTGAACCATGATTTAAATAGGCTGCTTTGATGAAGCCTATTTTGATGAAGTTTCAAATAAAATTTTGGAATATTTTGTTAATAAATATTTCATGAGTAATATAGTTGTCTTGTCACAATTTATTTTGAATTTGTACATAATTATAACAAATATTTTGCTAAACACGATGGATGACACAGGTTTTAAATCCTCTTTAGCACATTAAGTGTGCCTTGAGATTTTTACTTGTCCTTTGGTGTGCCTTGGGCACAAAAAGTTTGGGAACCACTGATTTAGAGTGCATAATATCTAACTATCTATTTATTTTAAGAGTAAAAAGGCTCATTCCATTGGCAGATCATCTTATTTAACTGCTCAAATTAAGGCAAAATACAATAAATTTAAGACATTTTTACTAATTTTTAGATATTTTTTAAAGTGTGGTTCTTCTGTTACCGGTACATTTCCAGACACACACGTACTCACTTGTGATGAAAGGGTTAGAGGAGCAAGCGGGGGCTCCAGGTGAAGGTGAAGAGACTCGCTGCTGAGGGGGAAAGGTTGAATGAGCTGCTGAGGAGACACCGCCTGAAGCTCGGTGAGGTGATTAGCAGGGGAACCCTCAAAGTCTGCTGGCTGAACCCGATCCGAGTGGAAGGACCATCTGTGGTCTGAAAATAGACAGACTTTAAAACCTTTGATGTAATATCGTCACCATAAAGAGATAAATCCCATTTTCTCACCTTCGTAAATCTCCCCTACACCACCCAGGTAGGGGTACAAGTCAACAGGGGGTCGGAAAGTCTCTGTCTCATGTGGAATAGCCTCCTCTGATGCCTTTTGAACATAAAAAAACTTATTTTTTGATAAAAACACAAATGCCTCATTCCCCAAACAACCAGGAAACTATCTCAACATGTAAGATCTAAGTTTAAACGTCTTACAGATACGGATAAAATCCAGTTTTCTACTCCGTGTACTCACTTCCTTGTGTCCCGACTTACAATAAACTCCAATACAATCAGAGAAATCTGCCAAACTGCGATCAAACAATAATCTCTCCATTTAACTGGTATAAAACTGTAAAATAGCAGCACTTACAGGCGTTAGGACAAAGGCATCCATCATGTAAACAAGGCGGCATGAGAGTCTCAACTTACACAGCTTCTGATAAAACTTATGTTTTTCCTATTGCTTCACTGAGAAACACGCAACTTCAGGGGCCAAAAATGGGAACTGAAAGCGAGACTCAGCTAAGCTGGACCCTACATTCATAACACCCAATTATCAAACTCATATGATAAACTAGTTCCTGGTGGCCACTGGTTGGTCTAAAATGCATTTCCTGTGTATGGAAATGTACGCACAGGTGATATATTTCTTTGATAGTTTTTTCAGTGCTGAAATATACTATAACCAGTTTCCCGTTTAGTTAGATGCATTTAAATGAACATTGTTTGTCCTACATTTAATGAAATTAATTTGTATGGTTTTGATTTTTAGCTCAAATGGCTCAGTTATGTGAAAAGAGACATAATTACCTGGAATAAATCACCAATTCTCTCACAGAGATTTAATGGGGAAGCGGAAAAAGCGGCTTCCTCGCTCGCTCTGTGCTCCATACAGCAGTCGACCAGTTGATCTTTTAAACACAGATTGACATCCATTTTTTTTTTCTTATTTTAAACAAAGTGCTCACAGGAGCTGAAACCAAAAGCGAAGTTTGGATTGTGGCTTGTTCCCCTTTTAGTTTGGCATTCAGGTTTCAATAGAGGAAGTTCTGACCATGAGAATGAAACCAGTTAAAAAAACATGACTGAAATGGACGGACGCTCCGTGAGGGTTTTCCAAGCAAGTATGGGGGGGCGGGGGGTTGGGGGGGGGGTAGGCGGAGTTAAGCGTTAATTTCAAAGAGGAACTACTCATTTGCAGGGAAAAAAAAGAATATTTAATCAGAAACCAAAAAATCTAGCTTCTGTATCTTTTGCATTTATTATAATATGTTCAGTAGCTTAGACTTTATGTTGTTAGAAAAATATAGATCAGGTGACCTGATAGCAGATCAGCTGCATTGCTGACTAGAAACAAAATATCCCAGAGAGCAGTTTGATGGTTTGCTTTAGCTATAACATTCCCAAAAAAAAAAAAAGAAAATATTCCAATATGTTTCCAAGTTTGAAGATGTTCAACATATTCTCATTATCAGTTCGTATGAAATCATACGAAAAGTTATGCACAGTATTTCACACGTTTTGGACGTTTTTCCTTGAAAAAACAGATCAGTGGCATGCGCAGCCAGACAGACGAAAAAAGCAGATCCGCGGACGGACGTAAAACTGGGAAAAACAGTGCAATAATCACTTCTTCATGTCTCTCACTAGGTTGCTTGCTGTTTTGTATCTTAGGGTTAGGGTTGGGGGGGGGGGACACTCTCTCTAGAGCAGTTGGTTAGGGGATCAAAGGCATTGCACGGGCCGGCGCATGTTCGTTGGTATCTCTCAGATCCATAGCCAAGCCAGTTTGTAGAACTTGGAGAATTAGGGTTAGCTTTTAGAGTAATGGCTAGGTTTTAGGGTTAGGGCAAGGCTTAAAATTAGGTTTTAGGGCAAGTGTCAGGGTTAGGGATCGGCTAAGTGTAATTTTAAGGCAAGGGTCAGGTGTTAGGTTTAGGTATGGACTCTACTAATATTAGGGTCAGTAGCTAATTGATCTGGTAAGTTGATAGTAAGGGCTAGAATTAGGTTTAGGGCAAGTGTCAAGGTTAGGGATCGGCTAAGTGTAATTTTAAGGCAAGGGTCAGGTGTTAGGTTTAGACTCCACTAATATTAGGGTCAGTAGCTAATTGATCTGGTAAGTTGATAGTAAGGGCTAGAGTTAGGTTTAGGGCAAGTGTCAAGGTTAGGGATCGGCTAAGTGTAATTTTAAGGCAAGGGTCAGGTGTTAGGTTTAGGTATGGACTCCACTAATATTAGGGTCAGTAGCTAATTGATCTGGTAAGTTGATAGTAAGGGCTAGAGTTAGGTTTAGGGCAAGTGTCAAGGTTAGGGATCGGCTAAGTGTAATTTTAAGGCAAGGGTCAGGTGTTAGGTTTCGGTATGGACTCCACTAATATTAGGGTCAGTAGCTAATTGATCTGGTAAGTTGATAGTAAGGGCTAGAGTTAGGTTTAGGGCAAGTGTCAAGGTTAGGGATCGGCTAAGTGTAATTTTAAGGCAAGGGTCAGATGTTAGGTTTAGGTATGGACTCCACTAATATTAGGGTCAGTAGCTAATTGATCTGGTAAGTTGATAGTAAGGGCTAGAGTTAGGTTTAGGGCAAGTGTCAAGGTTAGGGATCGGCTAAGGCTAATTTTAAGGCAAGGGTCAGGTGTTAGGTTTAGGTATGGATTCCACTAATATTAGGGTCAGTAGCTAATTGATCTGGTAAGTTGATAGTAAGGGCTAGAGTTAGGTTTTAGGGCAAGTGTCAGGGTTAGGGATCTGCTAAGTGTAATTTCAAGGCAAGGGTCAGGTGTTAGGTTTAGGTATGGATTCCACTAATATTAGGGTCAGTAGCTAATTGATCTGGTAAGTTGATAGTAAGGGCTAGAGTTAGGTTTAGGGCAAGTGTCAAGGTTAGGGATCGGCTAAGTGTAATTTCAAGGCAAGGGTCAGGTGTTAGGTTTAGGTATGGATTCCACTAATATTAGGGTCAGTAGCTAATTGATCTGGTAAGTTGATAGTAAGGGCTAGAGTTAGGTTTAGGGCAAGTGTCAAGGTTAGGGATCGGCTAAGTGTAATTTTAAGGCAAGGGTCAGGTGTTAGGTTTAGGTATGGACTCCACTAATATTAGGGTCAGTAGCTAATTGATCTGGTAAGTTGATAGTAAGGGCTAGAGTTAGGTTTAGGGCAAGTGTCAAGGTTAGGGATCGGCTAAGTGTAATTTTAAGGCAAGGGTCAGATGTTAGGTTTAGGTATGGACTCCACTAATATTAGGGTCAGTAGCTAATTGATCTGGTAAGTTGATAGTAAGGGCTAGAGTTAGGTTTAGGGCAAGTGTCAAGGTTAGGGATCGGCTAAGGCTAATTTTAAGGCAAGGGTCAGGTGTTAGGTTTAGGTATGGATTCCACTAATATTAGGGTCAGTAGCTAATTGATCTGGTAAGTTGATAGTAAGGGCTAGAGTTAGGTTTTAGGGCAAGTGTCAGGGTTAGGGATCTGCTAAGTGTAATTTCAAGGCAAGGGTCAGGTGTTAGGTTTAGGTATGGATTCCACTAATATTAGGGTCAGTAGCTAATTGATCTGGTAAGTTGATAGTAAGGGCTAGAGTTAGGTTTAGGGCAAGTGTCAAGGTTAGGGATCGGCTAAGTGTAATTTCAAGGCAAGGGTCAGGTGTTAGGTTTAGGTATGGATTCCACTAATATTAGGGTCAGTAGCTAATTGATCTGGTAAGTTGATAGTAAGGGCTAGAGTTAGGTTTAGGGCAAGTGTCAAGGTTAGGGATCGGCTAAGTGTAATTTTAAGGCAAGGGTCAGGTGTTAGGTTTAGGTATGGACTCCACTAATATTAGGGTCAGTAGCTAATTGATCTGGTAAGTTGATAGTAAGGGCTAGAGTTAGGTTTAGGGCAAGTGTCAAGGTTAGGGGCCAGGAAAATCAGGTCCTTTTTGTCCCTTTTTTTCTCTTTCCTTGTGGCCCGCTGGCGTCCGAGTTGGCAGGAAGGTCCGCTTTGCCATCCGGGTAGTTCTCAAAGAGTGCCAGGTGGGGGTCAAGCGGGCCACGGGGCCTGATCTGCAATACGGAGCAGACACACTAGATGGCAGTCAAGCCCTTTGGTTTTCCTTTAGCCAAAAGTGTGCCCGAACCGGGAATTTAGTGCGGATTTTGTTATTAACCCTTTATATGCTGGCGGTTTTTGATTTTTTAACCCTTTAAATGCCAAACAGTGAGTTTGGGTGGGCCAATAGGGTGGAAGACGGTGCCATATGTCTGTAAAAAGTATTTTTGCGGCGTTATGGGAGCGTTTGGCGAGGGCTGGGGTCGGACAAAGGGGTCACCGCTCGGACTCAGGGGCTCACCGCTTTTGTTTTTTGGGCTTTTGAGCGCCAGTGTGGGCTAAGGCGGGCCAAAGGGGTGTTGTGCTGGACACTGGGTGGGCTCTGGAGGACCAGGAGGCTGTTCCGCGGGGGTCGGTGCGGGCCCAGAGTGCTCCTTGTCCGGGGAGAGGCGCTCCACTCGCTCGGCTGGTTCTGGAGGTGCGGCGGATGCTGGGTTTTTCAATCTTTGCTATTTAAAAGTGCAAGTTGAAAGCGGGTTAACTAAAAAATGGGTTCTGGACCCATGCCCTGCCAGTTGTCGGCACCCAGTGATGCGAACTTCTGTCCAATTAATACATTGCATATATTTCCTATTTAAACTGCTCCGGGTCTCGGAGATCTAAGCCCACGGGCCCTGCGCGGCTTTCCCCAGGGGTCAAAGGTCAAGTGCCGTGCGGCCCTCTGTCCGTTTAATGAACACCTGTGTCCCCAGCATGGATCTCCATGGGCCCGGTCCCTGGTTCCGGAGCCTGGTTCCGGACCGGGTCTCTGGTTCTGGACCCATGCCGTGCCAATTGTCGGCACCCAGTGATGCATACCTCTGTCCAATTAATACATTGTATACATTTCCTATTTAAACTGCTCCGGGTCTCTGAGATCTAAGCCCACGGGCCCTGTCCATGGTCCTGCGGCGGGCCCTTGGTGCTCTGTCTCTGGGGAGAGGAGCTCCATGGGCCCTGTCCCTGGTTCTGGACCCATCCCGTGCCAATTGTCGGCACCCAGTGATGCATACATCTGTCCAATTAATATTGTATATATTTCCTATTTAAACTGCTCCAGGTCACCCCGAGATTGGAGCTCCATGGGCCCGGTACCTGGTCCTGCGGTGGGCCCTTGGTGCTCTTTCTCTGGGGAGAGGAGCTCCATGGGCCCGGTCCCTGGTTCCGGAGCCTGGTTCCGGACCGGGCCCCTGGTTCCGGACCCATGCCGTGCCAATTGTCGGCACCCAGTGATGCATACCTCTGTCCAATTAATATTGTATATATTTCCTATTTAAACTGCTCCAGGTCACCCCGAGATTGGAGCTCCATGGGCCCGGTCCCTGGTTCTGGACCGAGGCCATGATAACAACTGTCCCCAGGTCCCCACACATGTCCCTGGGTGGTTCAGAACCGGGCCCCGCGGTTCTGCAGGCCTCTGGGGAACCAGGGCAGTGCTGGGTCGGATTAATGGGCCTGGTTCCGGAGCCTGGTTCTGGGTGAGCGGGCCATGCAAACAACTGTCCCCAGGTCCCCACACATGTCCCTGGGTGGTTCAGAACCAGGCCCCGCGGTTCTGCAGGCCTGTGGGGAACCAGGGCAGTGCTGGGTCGGATTAATGGGCCTGGTTCTGGAGCCCGGTTCTGGGTGAGCGGGTCATGATAACAACTGTCCACAGGTACACACACATGTCCCTGGATGGTTCAGAACCGGTCCCCGCGGTTCTGCGGGCCTGTGGGGAACCAGGGCAGTGCTGGGTCGGATTAATGGGCCTGGTTCCGGAGCCTGGTTCTGGGTGAGCGGGCCATGCAAACAACTGTCCCCAGGTCCCCACACATGTCCCTGGGTGGTTCAGAACCGGGCCCCGCGGTTCTGCAGGCCTGTGGGGAACCAGGGCAGTGCTGGGTCGGATTTTGGGCCTGGTTCCGGAGCCCGGTTCTGGGTGAGCGGGTCATGATAACAACTGTCCCCAGGTCCCCACACATGTCCCTGGGTGGTTCAGAACCAGGCCCCGCGGTTCTGCAGGCCTGTGGGGAACCAGGGCAGTGCTGGGTCGGATTAATGGGCCTGGTTCCGGAGCCCGGTTCTGGGTGAGCGGGTCATGATAACAACTGTCCACAGGTACACACACATGTCCCTGGATGGTTCAGAACCGGTCCCCGCGGTTCTGCGGGCCTGTGGGGAACCAGGGCAGTGCTGGGTCGGATTAATGGGCCTGGTTCCGGAGCCTGGTTCTGGGTGAGCGGGTCATGATAACAACTGTCCACAGGTACACACACATGTCCCTGGATGGTTCAGAACCAGGCCCCGCGGTTCTGCGGGCCTGTGGGGAACCAGGGCAGTGCTGGGTCGGATTAATGGGCCTGGTTCCGGAGCCTGGTTCTGGACCCAGGCCATGCAAACAACTGTCCCCAGGTCCCCACACATGTCCCTGGGTGGTTCAGAACCAAGCCCCGCGGTTCTGGAGGCCTGTGGGGAACCAGGGCGGTGCTGGGTCGGATTAATGGGCCTGGTTCTGGAGCCCGGTTCTGGGTGAGCGGGTCATGCTTACAACAGTCCCCAGGTCCCCACACATGTCCCCGGGTGGTTCAGAACCGGTCCCCGCGGTTCTGGAGGCCTGTGGGGAACGGGGGGGCCCGCTTGTGGGCCCCCCTGGGCCCGGGCCTTGTATATGGTTGACCGGCCCTGCGAAAATCAGTTTGCAGGCTCGCTGAGAGATGAACTGAGCTCCGCCAGCAGCTCGCTTGTTTACCAGCCTTCCCGGCGCCAGAGATGACATCATCATCGGTCGCCTGAGTCTGGAAGCGGCTAACCAGGTAGCTCAGCTACCGGAGCTTTGAACGGATCAAAGCGGCTAAGGAGGGAGGCGATCTCCCGGAGCTCTGGATGGATCAAAGCGGCTAAGGAGGGAGGCGATCTCCCGGAGCTCTGGATGGATCAAAGCGGCTAAGGAGGGAGGCGATCTCCCGGAGCTTTGGATGGATCAAAGCGGCTAAGGAGGGAGGCGATCTCCCGGAGCTTTGGATGGATCAAAGCGGCTAAGGATGGAGGCGATCTCCCGGAGCTCTGGATGGATCAAAGCGGCTAACCAGGTAGCTCATCTACCGGACCGTGTGCGGGTGACTGCGGTGTATTCAGCGGGCCCAAGGCTCTTTGCTGCGGGGTAGCATGCAGCCGGCTGTTTAGCTTAGCTCCGAGAGCTCTTTGTGTTATGCTACCGGGGTTCTGCTGCTGTGATCGCGGGGCCTGGAAGAATTAAAGCGGAGCTAATATGGTCTGTTTTAATGCTTAAAGCTTTCTCCGATGCGGATCCACACTTTTGTCCAGTTAATATTGAACGTTTTAATTAAAGCGGGCCGCTGTGTTATGGTACCGGGTTCTGCTGTGACCGCGGGGCCTGGTAGAATTAAAGCGGGCCGCTGTGTTGTGGTACCGGGCCCCTGCAGCGGGACAACCGTGTTATGTTATGAGCATTAAGTGTGATGATTCCCATCTAATAAATGTATTGTTTTTATATTTCAGAAACTCAAGCAGGACCTCCATCCAGGCGTCACCATCCAGGGGTGACCATCCATCCAGGGGTCAGCATCCATCCAAGGGGCCCCATCCATCCAGGCTCCATCCATACAGGGGGCACCGGACCAGGGCGCTCCATGGGCCCCGGGAACTCAATATTTAACTTTTTTTAATTTTTAATAAATATATTTATTGGTTAAGAGATGCTTCCTCCATTACTTATACTCTGGACATTATGTCCCTATGGTTTAATGAACCCCTCTGTCCCTGGGGTAATGCATGTGGGAGGCTTTGCCCCTGGTAAGGTGTTAAAACTTTGAGGGAAAAATCAAAAATGGTTAAAATTTAAAAGAAATGCGCTTTAACGTGCTGCCTTGTGTCCCAGTGCTTCAATATGACCAGGTGTTTATCCTTTGTTGCTGTCGGGTCGCTGTGAACCAGGTAAGGTGGTGAAACTTTGAAAAAAAAACCAATTTGCGTTGATGCCGACTATTTTCCCATTCAAAAGTAATACATTTTGGCTCGTTCTATCGTGCCCAGCCATGTCTGATGCTCGGTAACGCCCCTGTGTCAACGGCGAATTGTCTATTTATGTCTGGGCCCCTGGTAAAGCGGATGCCGACTTTTTTCCCATTCAAAAGTAATAGGGGATGACCAATTCAATTGTGCCCAGCCATGTCAGATGCTCCGATGCGCCCCTGTGTCAACGGCGAATTGCCTATTTATGTCTGGGCCCCTGGTAAGGTTGATGCCGACTTTTTTCCCATTCAAAAGTAATAGGGGATGACCAATTCAATTGTGCCCAGCCATGTCTCGGTCCCGGTGCAACCTAATGTCCCGCCCCCAAATGCCTCATCTCGACCCGAGTTCCCGGGGCCTAGGAAATGTCCCATTAATTGTGCGACAAAATGTCCCCATGCAAAGAACTACCGAGCTGTCCACATTGTTTCTGGAGACATCTGGTGGTCGTTTCGGGAACAGCACTCTAACTTGCAAAAAAACTAAGTTTTTTGTCAAACTTTGCCCACTTTGGTGGTCCGCCCCGGGCTCAGGGTGGGCGGGAAAAATCGGGTGACCCGGGCATAAGGGTCACCAGGCCTTGCTCTATTTTTAGGGCCAGGTCCCCGGACCCTGGGGCCTCCGGTTTGGCCCCAGGAAATTTTCAAAAAACTCTCAAAAATGCGCCCGGGTGTCTGAAAACTTCACTCTTCCCCTATGGGGGGTTAGGGATCGGCTAAGTGTAATTTTAAGGCAAGGGTCAGGTGTTAGGTTTAGGTATGGATTTATGTTAGGGTCAGGGTTAGGGTTAATTGTATGTTCAATTCTATGTTATTGAATGGTGCGTAAGATGCGCATGCGCAAGGATATCTTGTCTCAAGGCAAGAAGTAAAAATACGACGAAATACGATGAAAAAAAAACGTCAAAAACGTACGAAATTACTGCACGTAACTTTTCATACGATTTCATACAAACTGATAATGAGAATACACTGAGACGTTTCTCTGCCCATCAAGGAAACTTTTTCAATTCAAAATGTCGGAAATAGCGTTTAGTTCCAGGTTTTATCCAGCAGCCCAACAAAGCCTGGTTTTAGTTTAGAAAACATGCAAATAGAAACGGATGAACGGGTCCCCCCCTTTGGAATGGGGGTCGTTTGGCTTCTTTGTTAAAGAACCAAAGGCTCCATTATTCTTTCTTTTTTTTTTTTACATGATTCAAGCAGCCATTATTATTATAAAATGCAACAGGCTCTGTCAGTGAAGCTGGCATAGATATTAATATGTAGAGGTAATATTGGAGCTAAATGCTATGATAAAAAAAAATCTGTTATCAAGATAATATAATTGTAATAAAGTATGTTTGCTATTTTAGCAGAGCGGTTATACTGCAATAAGTTTACATATGTAACACAAAAAGCAACAGAACATACAGGAATGGAAAATTTATTTTTAATACTTCCTCAACTAGGAATATACCAGCTTCAAAATATTAAAAACTCAAAATCATAAATATTAATCAGCTTTATTGATTCTGATGTTTCTTGAATTAAAGGATTTAAATAAGCAGCTAAATGTGCTTTTCTTTCTCGTCTACCATGAATTGTCTCTGTTTTTTATAACAGTCAAAATATTAATGTATACTTTGGAGACTTATTTTGATAGACCAATGGAATAAAATGTGTTAGAACACAAGTTTCTTTTCTATTTCTAAATACCAATTAATATCTAGAAATCACAACATGCAAATGCATTTAGTTCCAAGAGTCAATAGTTACACCAAATTTATGACATATAGATTTTTTTTCTATTTGTAAAGAATATTTTCCTTCTCTAAGCAGCTTAAACAATCAGTGGATAGAAAACATCTGTGAACACAGATAATTCTCAGATCTAGACCTTAACTGGAAAATTTTAATGAATGGTCTTATCTAAAAGTTTTTATCTTTTATTTCGCCTTGCCTGTTTCTGTGTGTCTGTGACTCCATCCTGGAAAGAAATAGAATTTCTGCTAGAATAGAATTTTTGCTTTTTCAAGTAGAATGGGAGGCAGATCTTTTAGTTCTCAGGCTCCTCTCCTGTGGAACCAACTACCAGTCTTAGTCTGTGAGGCAGACACCCTGTCTACTTTTAAGGCTAGGCTTAAAACTTTCCTTTTTGATAAAGCTTCTAGTTAGAGTGGCTCAGGTTATCCTGAGCTATCTCTATAGTTCTGCTGCTATAGGCTTAGACTGCTGGAGGACATAGGGACCCCTTTTTCATCATTCTGCTTCATTCTATCTCTATTCTTCCACTCTGCAGAATCTGTTTGTTCAATCTCTAATGCTGCCACCAACACCTTTGTTTCTAGATGTTGGAGCTTGGCCTGTTTTCCAGTGTAGTCCTGTTTCTCTGACTGTGACTAACTGGATGTGCTCTCTTCATCCTCTGACATGGGAGCTGGCTCGGAGCTCGTCTGCCTGGCTGTGTGTTTCCTGGACGGGGCCGCCTGTGGAGCTGGTTGACAGTTGCCTTTTGTATCTATGCTTCTTTTTCTATCTCTGCTTCTGTCTCCTTGAACCCCAGTGGGCCTCAGCAGATGGCCGCTCACACTGAGCCTGGTTCTGCTGGAGGTTTCTTCCTGTTCAAAGGGAGTTTTTCCTCTCCACTGTCGCTACAAGCATGCTTAGTGTGAAGGATTGCTGAAGAGTCAATGAGTCGATGCAATCAGCTGGTTTTCCTTAGATAGAAAACTTTGAATCAATCTGACTGGATGATCTGGTGAACTGGAAAGTGACCTGAGATGACATGATGTGAATTGGAGATATAGAAATAAACTGAATTGAAATTGAATTAAACCATCACTTCGCACCTCTAACAGGTTTTTGTTTAATGATTGCTTCGTGTTTATCTTGATCCGTCGTCTCGTCAAATCTGATCAGCTTCCTGAATAAAAGCATGATTCTTCAGGGTGATGTGGAAAGTTACTGTTCCACCACATTAGGTGTAGGCCAACAAGTTCAGCTTTGGTTTCATCTGACAAGAGCATCTTGCCATACGTCTCACCCCCTCTCTCATACCCCCTTTCATGTCAGCCTACTGTCAGAAAAACAAACCACCTAGTGGCATAAAAATTCAAAACAAAAAGAAAATATGCAGTAATTTCTAAATGTTTCAAATCAGGTTGGGTCCAGATTAGCCAGCAGGGGGGTCAGGATCCAGACTGCAGTCCGCTAATCCGTAACCTCTGGTGTAGACTGACCCGAAATTGTATTTGGCTCCCATTAGTTTTCAGCCTCCCCTCGGCGCACATTGGTCCCTGCATGGCCACCCCCATGAAAATATGTTTGCACCATCACTGACAGACAGGAGTGGACAAACAGAGGGGGTGGACTCAGATTTCAACTTCCAAAAACCCACAATGCAGCACTTGAGTTGATCCTTCCTTTTTTCATCTTAACCCCAACCCCTGTACAGGGAAACAGAAGACCTCGCCTATTCAGCCAGGGCAAGAATTACCTTTAACGACCCCCCTTTCAGAGACATAGACCAGTATGGGGCATTGCAGGTGAACATAAGGAGCCAAACGACCCCCATTCCAAAGGGGGGGACCCGTTCATCCATTTCAATTTGCATTTTTTCTGAACAAAAACCAGGCTTTGTTGGGCTGCTGGATAAAACCTGGAACTAAACGCTATTTCTGACATTTTGAATGGGAAAATCTTCCTGGATGGAAGAGAAATGTCTTCAAACTTGGAAACAAAGTCCAGAGGATTGATTTTAACTCTTTTGGAACGACTCTCTGCAGCTCAAATCACTGTCTCATTACAGTGAGACTGCTAAGTCTTAAACAGTGTTTAGTTGAGCTACAGGTGCTGGTCATAAAATTAGAATATCATGAAAAAGTAGATTGATTTCAGTAATTCCATTTAAAAAGTGAAACTTGTATATTATATTCATACATTACATACAAACTCATATATTTCAGATGTTTATTTTGTTTAATTTTGATGATTACAAATGACAACAAATGAAAATCTCAAATTCATCATATCAGAAAATTAGAATATTACTGAAGACCAATAAAAACAAAGGATTTATAGAAATGTTGGCCAACTGAAAAGTATGAACATGAAAAGTATGAGCATGTACAGCACTCAGTATTTAGTTGGGCCTCCTTTGGCCTGTATTACTGCAGCAATGCGGCGTGGCATGGAGTCGATCAGTCTGTGGCACTGCTCAGGTGTTATGATAGCCCAGGTTGCTCTAATAGTGGCTTTTAGCTCTTCTGAATTGTTGGGTCTGGTGTATTGCATCTTCTTCTTCACAATACCCCATAGATTTTCTATGGGGTTAAGGTCAGGAGAGTTTGCTGGCCAATTAAGAACAGGGATACCATGGTCCTTCAACCAGGTACTGGTAGCTTTGGCACTGTGTGCAGGTGCCAAGTCCTGTTGGAAAATGAAATCTGCATCTCCAAAAAGTTGGTCAGCTGCAGGAAGCATGAAGTGCTCTAAAACTTCCTGGTATGTGGCTGCGTTGACCCTGGACCTCAGAAAACACAATGGACCAACACCAGCAGATGACATGGCACCCCAAACCATCACTGACTGTGGAAACTTTACACTGGACTTCAAGCAACGTGGATGAAGTGCCTCTCTTCTTTTCCTCCAGACTCTGGGACCTTGATTTCCAAAGGAAATGCAAAATTTACTTTCATCAG